GGAATCTCCTACCATCTTTACACAGATGACATTACACTGTACATCTCCTTTAAGCCCCATGAGATGTCCAAGCTGCAGCTGTTACACACCTGTTTAGACTCTACTAAAACCTGGATGGCTGGAAACTTTCTACAGCTGAACGAAGATAAGACTGAGATCCTCATCTGTGCCCCAGACAAGCTGGTTCCCAAAGTCAGATACTCTCTTGGTCAGCTTGCTTCTCACACCAAACCCTCCGTCAGGAATCTTGGTGTGACCAAGATTCTCATGTCAGTTATCTTGTTCGCTCTTCCTTCTTCCATCTCAGGAACATTGCTAAGCTGAGTCCCATTCTGTCCCGCTCTGAACTTGAGATTTTTCTCCACTCCTTCATCTCCTCATGCTTAGACTACTGCAACTCTCTTTTCACGTGTCTGAGCAAAACCTCCCTGAACCGTCTGCAGGTGGTTCAGAATGCCTGTGCTCGGCTTCTGACCAAGTCCTCCAAATACACCCACATCACCCCGCTTCTCCTCCAGCTTCACTGGCTGCCAGTCAACTTCAGGGTTCATTTCAAGATCCTGGTTCTGGTCTATAGGGCCTTACATGGATAAGCACGATCATACATTGGTGATCTTCTCAGTCCCTCACCCCCAGCAGGTCCCTGAGGTCCAGTGATCAAAGCCTACTGGTTGTGCAGCACACCAGGCTAAAGACCAAAGGTGACAGATCATTTGCTGCTGTGGTCCCCAGACTCTGGACCTCTCTCCCCCTGAGCCTGAGATTGGTGGACTCAGTGAACTCCTTTAAAAAGCAGCTGAAGACCCACCTGTTCAAGCTGGTTTTGGTGTGACCTTCATCACCCTCTCCTTGTTCTGCTCTCCCCACCTATTCCACCTTCCTCAGGATCCACTGATTTCCCTCATTCCTATTCACTCTCTCTCTTTCTTTACATTTTGTAATTACAATTGTCTATTTTTTGCTCATTTAAAAAATATTTTTAATAATTTTTCTAAATTCTTTTTTATATTTTTACATTTTTTGTTTTTGTGAAGCGCCTCACGATTTTTATCTTGAGAGGCGCTATAGAAATGATACTTTCTTCTTCTTCTTCAAGCTAAATGTGATGAAAACACTAAATTCTAAAATTGTCTGAACTAGTCTTTTCTTTTCTTTTCTTTCTGCTTTCCTGATTCATCTTCATGCTTTTTGCTCATAGAAGTTAAGTTTTACTTCAGGAGTGATAAAACTGCAGGCAAAATTATGCTCTTAACCAGTTTCTCAAACTTGTTGAACTGTGCTCATATGTTCAAAATGGATTTTGCGTGACCTTCATCACCACTCTCTCCTTATTCTGCTCTTATCCCACCTTTCCTGGGATCTACTGATTTCCCTCCTTTCTATTCATTCTCTCTCGCCCTTTCCTCACATTTTTAGTTACAATGTTTATTTCTTCTCATTTTAAACATATTTTATGAATTGTTTAAAATCTCTTTATATTTCAATTTTTTTGTTTTTGTGAAGCAACTCGTGATTTTTATCTTAAGAAGCGTTATGTACAATATTCTTTCTTTCAGATCAGCTGATTGGCTCCAGTCAGACCCACCACGGTTCGCTCCGGCAGCACAGAGCCAGAGAGTGGGAGGAGCTGGTTTCAGACTAGATCTTTTTAATTTAACGGGACAAATAGCTGAAACAGGGAATGACTATGAGGGAAAAGCTGTTCAAATTAAATCACACGAGATGTCCAAAACGTTTGAAAGCCTTGTGTTTTCATCGTGTGTTGAAAAACGAACAGCATTCAAGGAATTTGGCGGTAACGAGCTAATTCATGTTGATACGACTTTACTCTCACCTGGCTTATTTTACTGAAGACATTTCTGCTCACCATCTGACTCCAAACCGGGTTCATGTAACCGACATAACCCTATGATCTTTACAAGCTTCACCCATGGACAGCACGGCGCTTATGCAGAATTTAATTTAAATGTATTTTTACGTTCACTAATAACACCTGCATAAAAAAAACTCTGAATTTACTTTATTTAGATGTCTGACTTTAACACTGAGCACTGCACAAAGTTAAATCTTAACAGTTAAACCCAAGAGTTCAAAAACTGATTCAGCTTCAGAAATTCTGTGCATCAACTGATGTCATTAATGATATTTTACCACAAATATAATGAGGAAAATGTCTGGAAATTGGCCACAGTACATATCGGCCATCGGCTGACCATGTTTCCCACATATCAGCATCGATAATGGAAACTGACTCTCTGTTTGATGGGAAGCCAGAGACATCTGATCACGCACAAGCTGTAGGTGACCAGTTCAGGTTTACGCAGCGCAGACGTTTGGGCCACAGCAGGTGAAATGTTCCTACTACTAGTGAAATCGTTTAATTGCATTTTTTTATGCTACTGGGGCACTCTGCTCAGGTGGTTTGGATTAAATATTAATTAAAATAGATTAAAATGGAAACTTAACAAATGATTATTGATTCATTTAAAAATGAAAGTGACGGGGATAAATGGATCACGTGACCTCTGGCAACGAACAAATGCTCCCTCCTCAGAGTGTGTCCAAATGCAGCAGCGATTCATTCCACTCCTACTCATAAAAGAAAGAAATCCAGTAGTCTATGTTCAGAAAACAAAAATATTGCTTAAATAAATACCACAGTGGTGGGCACCAGTGCTTAATTTGAGCCGGATCTTGCCGGAACAAGATCCGGGAACCGTCTTATTTTGAAAGGACGGTTCCGGCAACTGTCTGCTAGTATCCGGCAAATCACGCGACCAACTTGTGCTATACGCAGGGTTCCAATTACGGGTGAGCTAAAGGGATCCCGGATCACCCCAAAGGATAACAGGCTCCCCTGGAAGCCCTCAGTTTACACAACCAGGGAGAGCCTGAAAACCATTCTGGTTCTACTTTTATTACATCATCTATGTGGACTCTCCGGGGATTATTTAGAGCTGAGAGGCGCAGAGCTCTGATCGTTGACGCGCTCCAGACAGATGTGTCCTGAGCACGGCCACAGTAACATTATCAAAGTGTCGCCACCTCAAAAACAAATTCAACACACGATCATTTATGTCGGCTCATATCCTTTCATGCTTTCTGTCTTTTATTTGTGCCTGATGTGTTTTGCTGCTGCGGAGCGGAGCGCATCACCTGTTTTGCCCTCCGGTGAATTCAACTTACCGGAGCAGCTGGCGCGCAGCAAGCACTCCGCTATATTTGCGGTCGGTGGATCTTTTTGAACTGCAGTTCAAAGGTAACTCATAAGGTGAAAAAATATGAAGCCAGGTAGCAGTTTTTCTTCAGGATTGAGAGGAGATGCAGGAAGAAAATAAACAGACAGGACAGAAAACAAGTTCGTTTTTGTACCTGCTGGTTGCAACAAACAGACTCCATTGAAAATAATCAGAAATGAGGAACAGAAAATTAAATTATTCTTTCAATGTTTAGAGCAGCAGGAACTCTGAGAGGCTGCAGGCGCACCAGGGAGTTTGCACCGCTAAGCAGGAGAAAAGTAAAGATGCAAAAACTACTGTTGTCGAAAGAAATGCGTGTTAACCTGGAAAATGTGGGCGCAATTTTTAATTGTCAAAAACTTCAGCAAATCAACCGGAACCCCCCCCCACACCCCCCCACACCCCCACCCCACCCGTGTGTGTTCCCACTATTTGCGTTCCGGGAAGGTTTCATTTACAAATTAAGCACTGGTGGGCACCACAGGGAAACGCAGACGAGGCTCCTTTTTAACACTTTAGCTGTGTTTAATACGGGCCATTTAAACGTCACTCTACCAAACTACAAATACAAAAACAGTGTATTTACTAATGTGTTTTTATATTTCAGAGACTTTATAATGTGGACAAATTTGTGCTTCAATCTCCTCCACCTCTTCATGTGGTCGCCACCTCTAAGCCTACTTTTACCATTGTTTTCATCCACGTTTGCTCCGTATGTTGTACCCGTTCTCTCACGGGTGAATAAATGTTCATATTGTCTGACTTTTTTCCACGATGCGTTCTTTAATCCGTTCTGGGTCTGCCGCTAAATATCTTTTAACTTTTTAATGGGGCAACAGCAGGGCTGGTGAGGACTTTACAGAAAGCGGCATCCTGACCAATCACAAGCTTGTGGTCTCCGTCACTTTTGATGAATGTTTAAAATTTGGGGCATGCCTCCGTCACCCTCTATGAGCCCATGTGCCGACGCATAATGGCGTTGCGTGTCTCTGCACCGGCGCAGAGGGAGAAGCATACATCAGGCTTTAGGGAAAATTCACACTGCAGGCCTTCATGCTCAGATCCAATTTTTTTAGTAAATCCAATTTCTTTTGTGTGTGTGTGTGGTTGTACACATTATAAATGAAACTCCAAACACTCTCCAGTGTGAATTGTTCCCGACCCTAAAGTGACCTGCATGTACAGAAGACAAGAAGTCAGACTCTGTGAACCAGAGGCGGTGGCGTGTTGATGTGAAAGCCTTCACTGACAGTTCATCAACAATTACAGGATCACACCATTAGAATTCTCACATTTTGGCCTGGAAACTAAAAACTAGTTTACTCTTTATTTCTACCATCATCCTGTATTAATTTCACTTGAAATGCTTCTTGAATTAGGTTACCCCACCTCACAAACTACAGAGAGGCTTCTTTTGCTCCAGCAGCAACATCCTCCCCTCCCCCCCAAAAAATATCATGACAGAATACACACCTCTCACACTGAGACACACCTCAGGAAACCTCTGTCAGCACTTCTACTGCTCAGCTGATTAGTGACATAGAAGGTGGATTTAAAGAAGCATGACCATTTTTTAAAACATCAATTCTGTTCAGTTTGTTGTCCCCACAATTTGGAAATGTCCACACACTACAGGTCAATAGTAAAATGTGTCCACTTAAACATTCAACGTTAAGTACACACACACACACACACACACACACACACACACACACACACACACACACACACACACACACACACACACACACACACACACACCTGTATCCATGCTGTCCAGATCCAGATGGTGAAGTAAACACGATGAATCAGTCCCAGCTGATGGATGATCCTGAGGTGGAAGCAGGTTTTCTTTAGCTGTGTTTAGCTAACAGCTGCAATAGAAACAAAGCAGGAGAGCTGAGTAAGACTGGAGTAGCACTACACTCATAAAGGAAAACAGACTGGTTCAGGCGGTCAATACGGACGGTAGGTTCCGGTCAGAGAACCAGGGAAACTAGAATTATTCTCTGTGAGTTTATTAAAGTTTAACTTGAACAGCAGACTCATGTAACTGGAGCTAAATGAGTTTATGTGGTTTCTAGGAAGAAACAAATAGACTGCCATAAGTTAAAACAATACAACTACATACATAACCGGAACACACTGCTAACTAAATATAAATATAAACCGACACTCACGGAACTGAAGGTATGTTAGCAGCTTAGTGCGTGCGGTACGGTACTCACAGGGCTACCTTTAGCATTAGCAGCTAACAGCAATCATTAAACACTATTAAAATGCGCTACAGAATAACAAATGCGGCTGACGGACTACCAAACATGTAAACATACTAATAAGTATTAATATATCCTATATATTCGTATTTTATTACTTACTTTTAAATCCGTCACGCACAACACCAGCCGTTAAACCGGAAGTATGTTCGTCACAAAACAATTCACGGCTTGAAACACGAAACCAAACGCTGCTTGATAGCTGTTGTTTCAAATATTTGAGGCTCTGCGTAAAATGCATTCACTTCAGTCTCTGGTAGAGTTGATCAGCTAAAGCGACCAACTGCTGCTGCAGAAATCTTCTCACCAGGCTGTGGAAACATTCTTCTCCTCAACAGCTTGGTGGAGTTCTTTCAGAACCAGTGAAGATATTCTGCGGTCTTCGTGACAATCGGATCTCCAAAAGCAGTTGATGGGTCAGAAAAGCTTTTCTCTCCCCCTACGTTGCGTCAAGCAGTCATTACTCTTGTCCCTATAAAGACTCTCTACTGTTAGACAACTGGCGTCCAATCTCCTTACTTAACAGTGATTACAAAATACTTGCTCTGGTCTTAGCTATAGGTAATAAATTGAAAGTCGCTTTGGATAAAAGCGTCTCCTAAATGAATAAACATAAACTTTTTGTTGAGTTTCAAAAATGTTTTATTTGGGACAACAGACTATGATGCAAGACCCTCTCCTGCTTTCCATTTCATCAATCTGATTCTGTTTCTCTCAGTTTTTTTTATACACAAATGTAAAGTAATAAATAAGAACCCTTTGTTTAATCATTTTGTTGTAGATTTAAAGACATATATAGATACAATCTCTTCCTCGAACAACAAAAAGGCGATTAAGACCAAATGTGTATTTGAAGCATTACATGTGCTTGGGTAATATATAATCTCGCATGCTTTCGTTCTTTTTTAAACACAGAAACAGTTTTGTTTACCTGTTTGTAGCTACGGTTTCGCCGACAGCTGCCGGCTTCTTCAGGCTGACGCTGATGGTGGCGCGTCACTTCCTTCTCCGTTTATCTGCGGGCAGCAGAGGACGTTGTCGCCCTCTACTGCCCGCTCTCCCCTCTCCGACGATGCTGTTTCTGTGTTTAAAAAAGAATGAAAGCATGGATTTACAAAGACACAGCAAGAACACACCTAAGTTGTTCAAAGAGAAATACGGACAACAAGGAACGAAGGACTTCCGCCGTTTGGAACGATTACACCAGAAACGCGCACGTCTAAGAAACCACCTTCGCTTCTGTTTAAGATGCCGGGACGAAAACATCACACCCACAAGCCTACAGCTGAAAACATCGATCCGGACCCAGACAGCACAAAATATAATAGAAAGAGCACAGAGAGCACTGCTCAAGGAGAGGATAAGGAACGTCATAACCAAACAGAGGCGTGTGGAGGACGAACTGGAAAGAGGACACCTGGACTTGAAAAGGAATTACAAACTTGATAAACAAATGGAGGAACTAATTAAAGGACACATGATGGAAAAACAGGAACAAGAGTTCATAAAAGTGAAAGAAAGACACATAAAGAAGTTAAACAGACTCATAAACAAGAAAAAGAGGGGAGAAATACAAGGCAACTCCACACCAAACTCATGGGTATGTAACATTTCACAATACAAACTAACAGAAGCAGAAGAGAGCATATTAAAGAAAGGTTTAAACTTTGCAGTCACACCAAAAGAAATACCATATGATGAATTTATTGTAGCAACAGAACTAGCATGCCAACAGATCACAGATGAGGGAAAAAAAGCAGAACTCAGAAATAACGTAGTTGGGATATTAAAAAACAGCCAAATTCAACACAGCAATATTACAAAAGAAGAACAATCAGCCATGACAGCTTTATCCAAAAATGAACAGATAATTATTCTACCGGCAGATAAAGGAAGAACCACAGTAGTTATGGACAGAGAAAAATATAAACAACAGATGAAACAGATGCTAGAAGACAAAAATACATAAGAAATACTTAAAAAAGATCCAACAGAAAACATTAAGAAAAACATGAAAAAATTACTGAAGCCACTGCACGAAAAAGGCAAAATAACAGAAAAAATGTACAAACACTGGATTCCCACAGCAAACATAACACCAAGAATATCTGGAACACCAAAAATACATAAATAAAACACCCCACTTAGACCAATAGTTGACAGCATAGGTACACCAACATACAACATGGCAAAAGATATCAGCAGAATCATCAGCCCGTTATTAGGAAATACAGACCAACACTGCAAAAATAGCATAGAATTGGCAAAAGAACCAAAGGAGATTACAATAGAAGACAACGACATACTCATCTCACATGACGTCACATCTCTGTTCACAAAAACACCAACCCATAAAACCATAGACATAGTAGTTAACAGAATCAGACAAGACAAAACTTTACATAAAAGGACAAACCTCACAGCAGATGACATAGCACAACTGATAGGACTGGTAGCTAACTCCACTTACTTCACATACGACAACACAATATACAAACAACTGGAAGGCTTCGCCATGGGTAACCCGTTATCAGCCACCCTGTGCGAGTTTTTCATGGAAGACCTGGAACAAAAAGCCATAGCCACCGCCCCCCCAAACTGCAAAATAAAACTATGGAAACGCTACGTAGACGACATACTGGAAATCATACCAAAAGGACAAACAGAAACACAACACTTGAATACCATTGATGACACAGGCAACATAAAATTCACTTATGAGTCAGAAACAGAAGGCAGCATAGCATTTATGGACATGAAAATCACCAGGCAGACCGACGGGACCCTAAACATAAACACATACAGGAAACCAACACACACAGACCAATATTTATTATGGACATCAGAACACCCCACCATACACAAAATGTCAGTAATCAGAACATTATATCACCGAGCAAACATAATAACAGAAGAGAGAGACCGTAAACAAGAGGACAAACACATACAACACGCTTTAAAGACCTGCGGATACCCGACATGGGCAATAAACAAAGGAAAACAACAAACAAAAACAGAAAGCAAAGAACAACCCAAAAAAAGAACCAGAAACCCAGAAAGACAAGAACCAAAACCAGTGATAACCCTACCATACATCAGAGGCATAACGGAAAAAATAAGAGCAACAATGAAAAAACACAACATAAACACACCAACAAAGCCATACACAACAGTTAGAAACAGATTAGTACACCCAAAAGACTAAATATCAGCTGGACAAAAATGTGGAGTCATCTACGAAATCCCATGCAAAATATGCAATAAAACATACATAGGAGAAACCGGACGCCAACTCAATACACGGACAATAGAACACAGAAAGGAGTGCGAGAAAGAGGCAAATCGTAAACACACAAGAGCAGCAAAAGAAGAAGCAGAAAGTACAATAAAAAAAAGTCAGCCGTAACAGATCATTGCTTAAGAGAAAACCATATAATGGACTGGGACAGCACACGGATCATAACCACTGAACAACAAAAATACAAAAGATGGATCAAGGAAGCAATAGAGATAAGGAGACGTGGATGTGGGACCATGAACAGGGACGACGGAGTTTACACGCTGGACCACGCATGGGACTGCATCGTCGGAGAGGGGAGAGCGGGCAGTAGAGGGCGACAACGTCCTCTGCTGCCCGCAGATAAACGGAGAAGGAAGTGACGCGCCACCATCAGCGTCAGCCTGAAGAAGCCGGCAGCTGTCGGCGAAACCGTAGCTACAAACAGGTAAACAAAACTGTTTCTGTGTTTAAAAAAGAACGAAAGCATGGATTTACAAAGACACAGCAAGAACACACCTAAGTTGTTCAAAGAGAAATATAATCTCGCATTATGGAATATTTTTGTATTTATTTATTCATTTTTTTTCTTCTCTGTATTTTTATTTATATCTTTTCCTTCTTTCTCTCTTTTTTCCTATATTGTTTGATGTATGCGTGCTGTTAGTCAGTAACGTTGTATATTAATCCAAAATGCTCAGGAATGTTTTTGTAAGATCTTAAAAGCAAAAAAAAATTTTATAAAAAAATAGACCTTTTCTGTAGACTTCCTGCCCTCTGGATCAGCTGCTGTTCCTTTGGCATCTCTGAGAAACGCGCTCGTTTTGCTGCTTTCATCAGATTGAAGAGGTTCCCTCTATCAGACTCGCTCATCTGAGTTGGTCATGATGCAGGACCGCTGCTCGCTCTCTGATCATCCTGCTCACACTCTCCGACGGAAAAGCCCCGAATCTGGATGTGACTCTGGAGGAAAAAGCGGTTAGCTCTACTCCGTGAACTCTGGTGACCAAAGGTCCTCTTTTCCAGACTGGATCTGTCCTCAGCTGATCAGAACCAAAGCGTTGGATCTTTAATCTCCTGCGTTGCTCTGAAGCAGCATCTTTCTCCGAAAGATTGAAGCGGAACTAAACGTTCGCCGAACAGAACTAATATTTGGTTCCGTGTTTCAACCCGTGCTTTGTTTTGTCACGGACACACTTCCGAGTTTGTCGTCGTGTGTTGTGCGCGACATATGTCTGTGTTGATTGGTATATTAGTAATCAAAGACGAATATAGCTGCCTGGGGGTGGCGCTCTTGGTAGGTAGACACCAGCATAGTAGGTGTGAATGTGGGGAACTTGAGACGGTGGGGCACGTTCTTCTGCAGATATTCGGTGGAGCGGCAGCCTTGTTTGGTTTTTTAGGTACAGTGGAGGTGACTGTGTTGTGTCAGCGGATACGGCTGGAGGTGGGGGAGTGGCGCAGGGTGGGTGCACTGTTGCGTTTTCTGTGGATTAGGGTTAGGGGCGGTTTAAGGACTGAAGAACATCCGGGGCTTAATACACGCACGCGCACACACGTGACACGCACTAGTCAACATCATACATGTCTTGTACCACATAATTTTTAATCTGAAGCTACGTATTAAGCATTTTCAGGGCAGAGTATTGTTCCTGTTAGTGTTTAGTGTGAGATGATAGTAAATATTCCATTTCTTTCTCCAACAACTTTACCTGATAGTAAGCTAACTTTAGGCAAACCAGCAGCGCAACAAATAAGACTCACAAACCTGAGTCAACACCAGTCTCATCAAAGCTGGGGTTCTGTTGCTGTACTTTTGGTCTAAAAAACGTCCTCATGTCCATCTTCACTCATGTATTTCAGGCAGAGAGTGTAGAAGAAGCCGGCTGCTGAAGGGCTTCTTCTTCAGTGGTGGAGGCTCAGGCAGACTGTATACAAACTACTGCCAGCTGCTCCCTCTCTGTTGGACTTTGGTACTGCATATTACTTCCACGATTTAGATCCGGGGCTTCAGCCCAAGTAGCCGGGCCTAACGCCGCCCCTGGGCAATAGGGAGTTTAAGTGACTTCCTCATCACGGGTCCCCTGAGGAACAAAAACATGAATGCAAGTCAACGGGGCTAAAAACGCTATTTTCTAATCCGCTTTGCCTTACGCCCTGGATCACACATGTTGTACTACAGTATAAATGAAAAGTAACATGGGTGTTTTGACCATGCCAGTGACGTACTTTGAGATTTATAAGCTTGCAAAAGTTCTTAATTAGCATGACTGCAAACCAGAAATCGGTAAGTCGCATGTATGACGTCACCACATAATCTCCTCCCCCTAGGTAGCTGCTACTTACCACATGACCAGATTTATGGTGTTTCTTTCCTCCTGTGGGAAGTTTGCTGAACACACAGCCCTTTTCTCTCAGTTTTCTCCGTGTCTGGTTCGATGACGTCACTTTCGTGAGGCGCATTTGTAGTCCTGGACTTGTTTTCACACAAAACCTAAAATAGTGTTTCCCCCGTTAGAAAATAAGCACGTTCTTGGTATCAAAATGTGTTTTTAACCCCTTAGCATTCCAGCGTGCCGCCCGTGGGACAAAACCCCATTGTATTCATTTAACCTGGAAATCAAAGGGGTTTAAATTCATGGATGTGAAATCCATGGCACAAAACAAGCGGAATTAGAAAATAGCATTTTTAGCCCCATTGCCTTGAATTAATTTTTTTCGTTCTTCCGGGGACTCAGGTGGGTGTGACTTAGGCTCCCTATAGGGCTTGTGATCACACGTGATTACGCATAGCATTCTGGGATGTTGGAAGGTTGACGAGTGTAAACAAACCATGAAACAAATGGTACTGTCGCACAGAAGAAGAGGATTTGGGCAAAAGGAAATGTTAAACATAAAATCCCAAAAAGGGTGCAGAATATACAGGGATACGTTATATAAAGACGTTGGGGACCGGTATGTGGATAGAATCATCGTTATAAATTGTTTTGATCCATATGAAAGACTCAAGACTGGAGCACCGATGACATATAGTTGCTGCTGCAGTTCTGCATAACGGGACATTTTCGGCTATCTTGTTTGTGGTGTGAGCGGATGTAAACGTCCGGATGAGAGGTAAATGTTTAATTAGCTGGTTTTTTAACTACGATCGGGACAATATTACATGTAACTTGTACCAAGCTTTGTAACCTGTAACATGTTTTGTAACTGTAACTTTCGTTTTGTAGCACGTAACATTTGGTACGTAACACGAAACTTTCATTTTGTTGCTTGCAGAAAACAATCAATGCACGAGTTTCAAACACACATCACAGTCTACAGTTACAAAACTTAAGTCTACAGTTAAAAAACTCAAGTCTACAAGTACTAAACATTTTGTCCCAATTCCAGCTTCCTTCCCAAAGAACCAATGACAGGCTAAGTCTGACCAGCCAATCATGAGTCTTGGATTCCTGTCAAAAGACAATTCCTGTTGGAAGCAAGCTAGAATTGGGACAAAATGTTTTGTACTTGTAGACTTGAGTTTTGTAACTGTAGACTGAGATTTGTGTTTTGAAAGTTGGGATTTTAAACTTTTACATTGATTTTTTTCTGCAAGTTACAAAATAAGTTTCCTGTTACGTACCGAAGTTACATGTTACAAAATGAGAATTACATGCTAAAAAAATAAAGTTACCTGTTACAAAACAAAAGTTATGTGTTACAAAATGAGAGTTACATGTTACAAAATGAAAGTTATGTGTTACAAAATATGAATTACATGCTACAAAAGTCACAGTTACAAAACATGTTACAAGTTACAAAACTTGATACAAGTTCAATGTAACATTGTCCCAATCCTAGTTCCATACACATCGCTGCAGACTTGGGTGAAGTGCAGATTAAGGGTGCAATGGGGGCGTGGTAAACTTCTGCACTTGAGAATTGGGACACCCTACTCACTCGCGCCCCTGGCGAGGAACGAGCAATTGAAGGGTGCGACGGGGCAAGTGTGAGTATTGGGATTGGGCCTTAGTGCAGTTGTGGCAGCAATACGCTTTCGGGCGTCCAGCCTGCCTTTACATTGAAGAAGAAGACGAATATTTAGGTTATATTCATGCTTATTAGTATGTTTACATGTTTGGTCCGTCTGCTGCGTTTGTTATTCTTTAGCACTGTAACGTCTCATTCTTTACAGCACGTTTTGATAGTGTTTAATGAATGCTGTTAGCTGCTGATGCTAAAGCTAACCCTATGAGTGCTGTAATGCACATGCTAAGTGGCTAACATACCTTCAGTTCCACGAGAGTCTGTTTATATTTATATTTAGTTAGCAGTGTATTCCGGTTATGCATTTAGTTGTATTACTTTAACTTAGGGCAGTCTCTTTGTTTCTTCCTAGAAACCACATCTACACACATGTATCTAGCTCTGTTTTCCTTTATGAGTGTAGTGCTACTATAGTCTTACTCAGCTCTCCTGCTTTGTTTCTATTGCAGCTGTTAGCTAAACACGGCTAAAGAAAACCTGCTACCACTTCAGGATCATCCAACAGCTGGGACTGCTTCATCGTGTTTACTTCACCATCTGGATCTGGACAGCATGGATACAGGTGTGTGTGTGTGTGTGTGTGCGTGTGCGTGTGTGTGAGTGAGAGAGAGACTGTACAGATGGTCTCTGCAGACAGACTTAAGTGCAGCACAAACACAAGGAAACATTAAAGGGGCAGTAGAATGGAAAGCCACCTTTACCTTGTTGTAGTTGAATAAAGGCAGCTTGTCTGGTCAGATGTAGCAGACCAAAAGGTCAGAGCCGTGTCTGAGCTGCTGTCTATGTAAACGAGTCATCTTGAAAAGACGAAGGAGAAACGGTTCATTCTGAGAAATGCTGGTTTATGACGTAATAAGTAAGCCACATCTGCATATTCCAACCCACTTTGGAATGCGGGTGGATCACTCATGTTCCAGGATGTACTGGGAATATGTAGATTTTGAATGAACACCAGATCGATCATAGCTTGTGATCCGGTACTCAACAACAAATCTCTCCACAGACTGCAGCTTCTACAAAATGCTGCAGCACGTGTCATCACTAGGACTCCTACCACTCATCACATCACTCCTATCCTGCAATTTTACTGGCTTCCAATCAAACAGAGTTCATTTCCATTATCAATGATATGTACTGCCAGTTTGTATGGGCCAATATCTAGGGCTGCATGGTGGCGCAGTTGTTAGCACTGTTGCCTCGCAGCACGAAGGTTGCAGGTTCGAAACTCGGCTGCGGCCTTTCTGCGTGGAGTTGCGTGTTCTCCCCATGCATGTGTGGGTTTCTTCCGAATACTCCGGCTTCCCCCCACAGATCACAACATGCCCTATAGGTTATAAATTGTAAGTCGCTTTGGATAAAAGCGTCTGCCAAATAAATAAACATAAACATTTTCCTCATTATATTCATACTCATCCAAAGCATCCTCAGTAAAATATCCCAGGTGAGAGTAAAGGCTTATCAGCACAAATCCCTAAATTTGTTCATTTTTTAACACACGATGAACACACAAGGCTTTCAGACGCTTTGGACATCTTCTGTGATTTAGTTTAAACAGTTTTCCCTGTTTCAGCCGTTTGTCCCGCTAAATGAAAAGATCTAGTCTGAAACAGCTCCTCCCTCTCTCTGGCTCTGTGCTGCTGGAGCGAACCGCGGTGGGTCTGACCGGAGCGGTTCAGCTGATCTGAGCACAGTTCAACAAAAGTGAGAGAAATTTAATAAACTTCTAACATTACTGTACTAAAATTGACAAAAAAAAAAAAAACAGAGTGTCATTTTACCTGCAGTTTATCACTCCTGAAGTAAAACTTTACTTCTATGAGCAAAAAAAGCATGAAAATGAATCAGGAAAGCAGAAAGAAATGTTATTTTTCACTTGTTTTCATCACATTTAGCTTGGATTTTATTTAAAATATCTTCTTTTTTATCCATTTGGTGATATAGTTTTGTTGCATTGTTTGATAAAAGAATCTTAAAATAAATGCTATTTGAGATATTTTGAATTTATTTAAATAAGTTTTGAAAATTAATACTGAAATTTATTCTATACTTTTTAGAATTATTTGTTCTATAATTTATCTGGTATGTAAGATTGTTCAGAAACATTTTTACATGTATAAACAAAAGAAAAGTTACTGCATGTGCTTTAAAATTTATCGTGATATGGATTTTAGGCCATATCGCTCCTTCCTACTATGAGGTATTGTGAAGAGGAAAATGCAAAAAGCCAGAGCCAACAATTCAGAAGAGCTGAAGGCCACCATCAGACCAACATGGGCTTTCATAACACCTGAGCAGTGCGACAGACTCCATGCCACGCCGCATTGCTGCAGTAATCCAGGTCGAAAGAGCCCCAACCTAATATTGTAGCAGCTAGAAGGCATTATATAAATACAGGCCTTTTACCAAAGTTTGAGGTTGTCAATGTGTTTAAAACATCTGATTAAATCTAGTAATCCTACATTTTAAAATATGTTTAAAGATTCACTTCAGATGAAAAAGTCACTCAATTCAAAAGTTATTTCATGTTCTCTGAGTTAGTTCTGATCTCACCTACTTAAACCAATAATTCAACTGTTTATTAATATATGTGTGAAAATAAAGTTACAGAGGTTATTAATTCACATCATGTGTTTCTGGTTCCCACAGATGTTCACCAGGTGGTTAAAGAAGAAGCTCCTGAAGATCAGAGTGCTGGTGTGGACCAGCAGGACCCAGAACAGTTCCAAATAAAGGAGGAACAGGAGGAACTCTGGACCAGCCTGGAAGGAGAGCAGCTCCATTTGAAGGAGGAGACTAATCCTGCCAGGTTTCCATTCACACCAGTTTCTATAAAAAGTGAGGACAATGAAGACAAACTTCTGTTCTCACAGCTTCTTCATCAGCAGCAAATAGAAGACAGAGATGTTCCAACCAGCAGCTCAGCTGAGCAGACAACAGCAGAAACTGGTAGAGGAGCAGAATCTAGCAGGAACCCAGTTCTGAACCCTAATGAACAGATATCTGATTCTTCAGAGACTGAAGTTAGTGAAGATGATGTGAATCTAAATGTTGAGTTATTAGACTCTGGGCCTGAAACTGGAGATGACAGCAATGAGAGCAGGTCTTCTGAGTCAGATGTTAAGACTGTCAAAAAATCCTTTAGCTGCCCTGAGTGTGGTAAACAGTTTCTCCACAAGTGGACTCTCCAGAGACATGTGAGAGTGACGAGTCATTCAGCAATAAGGTCTTCAGGCTGTTTGGTTAGTAAGAAAAATGTTAAAATGAAGCAACACGTGGACTCATGCAGGAACGTCCAGAAAGAACCAAAATCATTTAGTTGTGACATTTGTGGAAAAATATTTTGTCATAATAAAAGTTTAAACAGTCACATGGGAGTCCACACAGGACAGAAACCTTTTGCATGTGAGCTGTGTGAACAAAGATTTAGTCATAAGTCAACATTAAGGACTCACTTGAGAGTTCATTCAGGACAGAAACCTTTTGCCTGTGAACTCTGTGGGAAAAGCTTTCATCGAAGTACAATTTTAAACAGTCACATGAGAGTCCACACGGGACAGAAACCTTTTACCTGTGAACTCTGTGGGAAAAGCTTTAATCAAAAGACACATTTAAACACTCACATGAGAGTCCACACAGCACAGAAACCTTTTGCTTGTGAGCTGTGTGAACAAAGATTTAGTCATAAGACAACATTAAACACCCACATGAGAGTCCACACAGGACAGAAACCTTTTGTTTGTGAACTCTGTGGCAAAAGTTTTAATCGAAGTACAATTTTTACCACTCACATGAGGGTCCACACAGGAGAGAAACCCTTTGCTTGTGGACTCTGTGGAAAAAGCTTTACTCAAAGGACAAGTTTAAACAATCACACAAGACTCCACACAGGACAGAAACCTTTTGCCTGTGAACTCTGTGGGAAAAGCTTTACTCAAAGAACAAGTTTAAACAAACACACAAGAGTCCACATAGGACCGAAACCCTTTGCCTGTGAGCTATGTGGACAAAGATTTACCTATAAGAAAAGTTTAAACAGTCACATGAGAGTCCACAAAGGACACAAAGAATGTGTTTAAAGTGCAAGCCACACCCAAATGAACTTTCTTTTACTGCTAAATGATATCTTTTTATATTTTAGACATATAAATGAGTGTCTAAAAATGCTGTAGACAAGTGAGGTCATTATTTTGGCATTTTAGTACATCTCATTTAAAATGTAAACATTAAAGAGCAAGTCACCCCCAAATAAACTTTTTTTTGCTGATAAACTAAATAAACGAGTGTCTAATCGTGCTGCAGACACGTGTCGTCAATAATTTGGCACTTCAGTGCATCTTAGTTAAAATTTAAATATTCTGCCTAAAACTGGCAGTGTTGTGCCATTGTCAGGTAAATACTCTGCACTGTATTTTAATTTAAATCTGCCACCGCTATTGGCTAAGAAGTATGCTATGATGTAAACTGGTACATTATGATGTCACAATCCTGTCGTGAGCCTGTGTGTGTATTTGTTAGCGGCTCCGCCCTCTCGGTCTGCCAGGCAGCAACATGTGTTGCATTTTTCAAACATGAAGTGCGAGTGGAGTTAGACTCTGGTAGGGGTTGACTTGCTCTTTAAGCTTTAAACTACCAGTGTAGCACCCTCTTCAGGTTAAAGCTCTGCACTACATTGAATTTGAATCAGCCATCATTATTGTCAAAGAGGTATCCTGTATGTCAGCAGTACTGTTGGAGTATACAGGTCCTTCTCAAAAACTTAGCATATTGTGATAAAGTTCATTATTGTCTGTAATGTACTTATAAACATTAGACATTCATATATGTAGCGTAGGCAAATCGATGATTTTTATTTGTTAATACCAGGAAGATGTAATGTTCTATATAAATACAAAATATTAACCTGCTAGGTCTTTCTTGTAATTATTCAGAAGATTCTAGGATTTAATTCAGAAGATCAAGGTTCTTTGCTTTTTCAGTGATTAGAAGAACATCAGACGCAATCTGTCATGTCTACTTCACCCGTTTTGGCGAGGCCCTCTTGGTGGATTCGAAAGTCGCAGGGGTCGGCTGACCTCTGGCACCAGAGGGCTGTAGAATACCGTGGTACCGACTCTTCAGTCCAGAGATGTCTCGGGTCACAACTGCTGGATGGAACCGTGCATCTGGCGGACTCTTAAGGAGTCTAACAATATCAGCTTTGTTTCTGCAGGAACTGTTTGCTCACCATTTTAGGTGTGTTCTTGCTGTGTCGTGGTTCTAATTCCATGCTATCGTTCTATTTTTAAAACAGAAACAGTTTCGTTACCTGTTTTTTCGCTACGTTTCGTCTGCGGCTGCAGACTTCCTCAGGCTGATGCTGATGGTGGCGTCACTTCCTTCTCCGTTTATCCGCGGGCAGCAGAGGACGTTGTCGCCCTCTGCTGCCCGCTCTCCCCTCTCCGACGATGCAGTCCTATGCGCGGTCCAACGTGTTCATGGTCCCACATCCACGTCTCCTTATCTCGATTGCTTCTTTAATCCACCTTTTGTATTTCTGTTGTTCGTTGTTTATGATCCTTGTGTTGTCCCAGTCCATTATATGGTTTTCTCTTATGCAGTGATCTGTTACAGCTGACTTCTTTATTGTGCTTTCTGCTTCTTCTTTTGCTGCTCTTGTGTGTTTTCGACTTGCTTCCTTCTCGCACTCCTTTCTGGAATAGTTTTTATGTTCAGGTTCTTTTTCCAAACAATGCAACAAAAATAGATCACCAAATGAATAAAAGTGAAGATATTTTAAATAAAATCCTAGCTAAATGTGATAAACACTAAATTCTAAATCGTCTGAACTAAAGTGAAAAATAACATTTCTTTCTGCTTTCCTGATTCATTTTCACGCTTTTTTTGCTCATAGAAGTAAAGTTTTACTTCAGGAGTGATAAACTGCAGGTAAAATGACGCTCTGCTGCGTTTTTTTGTCAATTTTATTCCAATAATGTTGGAGGTTTATTAAATTTCTCTCACTTTTGTTGAACTGTGCTCAGATCAGCTGAACCGCTCCGGTCAGACCCACCGCGGTTCGCTCCAGCAGCACAGAGCCAGAGAGAGGGAGGAGCTGTTTCAGACTAGATCTTTTCATTTAATGGGACAGTGGCAAGGATTTGTAATTAGTTTAGAAAACAATACAGAACAACAAAGAAATAGAAAAAAATACGACAAAACAGCGGCCTTAGTCATTTTGACTTATAAAGTGTAGCTTACTCCTTAGGAGACATCACAGGTGGGCAGTTTCACTGACGGGAGATGTGTCTATTTTGGATAGATCAAGATGATCCGAACGCATCTCTTTTCCGTCAATGATAACACGGGTGCCAGCAAAGTATGCCTTTTCCCCTTTTTCTTTGCAGCTTCAATTACTGGCCGCAACTTGTTTGGCAGTGCTTTGTCTTCGGTAGTTAAATCTTCAGGGAAGCTCAGCTTGTTGTTTCTTAGTTAGTCGCTCTTCTTGACGGCCCTCCACAGCAGGTCTCCTGTAGATCTGTTTGTGAAGCGGATGATAGTAGTTCTTGGTCAATTTGAGGATCCTTGGATTCTTCCCTTACGGTAAACATTATCAATACTGTCTAGGGCTGCAACAAACGATTATTTGGATAATCGATGAATCGGATGGGGTCTCGACACGATTAATCGATTAATCAGATTACATAGGGACATTTTTTAAAACTGCTAGGGAAACGTTATTTTTCTCCTTCCTTCACTTTATTAAACACAACATTATTAGAAAACAGTTCATTAGCAGAAAAACAACATGCCATCACCTAAATTGTCTTATAAGGTGTATAGACAGAGACCCTAAGCTACACCTATCTGTGACCTAAAATGCTTGGTCCAAGTTAAACAGCTTAAAGAGCAAGTCAACCCCTACCAGAGTCTAACTCCACTCCCACTTCATGTTTGAAAAATGCAACACATGCTGTTGCCTGGCAGACCGAGAGGGCGGAGCCGCTAACAAACACACACTCAGGCTCACGACAGCATTGTGACATCATAATGTACCAGTTTACATCATAGCATATTTCTTAGCCAATAGCGGTGGCAGATTTAAATTAAAATACAGTGCAGAGTTTTTACCTAACAACACTGCCAGTTTTAGGCAGAATATTTAAATTTTAACTAAGATGCACTGAAGTGCCAAATTATTGACGACACGTGTCTGCAGCACGATTAGACACTTGTTTATTTAGTTTATCAGCAAAAAAAAAAGTTTATTTTGGGGGTGACTTGCTCTTTAAGGGCAATTCTCATCTGTTTTGTTTGATCTCATCTGTAGACATTTATTATAATTGGGGATGTCAAACAACTAATTTTTAAATGTAATTAAACATAGGCTGTGAATTAATCAAAATTAATCACTATTTCCAAAAATGACTGAAAAAATACCAAATAAAGCAAAAGTAAATGAATGCCATCCTCCTTGCGATGATGCCCTGGGCAACTGCCATAAAGTCACATCAAGAAATGCTGCTGATCATTCCAATGATCCCAATTAGACTCACATTAGGCCACATGAAAGCAACTGAACCCAAAAATATATTAACCAGTATATAACTGCACTCTCACACAACACACCTGCAGCAACAGTTAGGACTCCTCCCTCCCTTTTAAAAGCGTTTTCGCTTCGAGGACATTGTGGTTGTAAAGCCACATGCTAGTGGTCTGGCCCCGGTGTGATCAGCCAGTTTCTGCGGGAATGTGACGGCGGAACCGGTTCGCAGCGGCGCAAGTCCCCCCCCCCCCCCCCCCCCCCCGCCTATCTAATAGTGTCACGCTTACGATTTTATAGACTTTTTTTTACGAGCTTAGGGCATGTCTAGCTTGTGTAATAATCCGGGGCTTGGATTAGTTTTTAACTTACCCGGACACAGAGCTCTCTCCTTCCTCGCTGATGATTCGGACATGCTTGCGTTTAAGACGCTGCATCATCACTGTAATACTCCCGTGCCATGCTAAGTCTGACCTACAAATGTTGCAGGTAACGAATGTCTTTGCCTGATTTAACTGAAACTGCTCCCAAACTTAAGAAGTTTCTACTTTTTCGGGTCTCGCTGCTCCTGCCATGTTCCTCTTTCCAAACACCTGCTGGTCTGCGCGCAACGCGGGCGGGAGGTGAGGGGGCTTTTGGAAGAGTTGTGGAACACAACGAATCGATGACGCAATTCGTTGCCAACGCTTTTAGTAATCGATTTTCATCTAATTTATCGATTCGTTGTTGCAGCCCTAATACTGTCTGTTATTTTGTGCTGAGATTCGGGAACCAGGGAGCAGCAGATGTTGATGACCTTTGCTCTGATGTCTTCGGGGTTATCTTCAGGAACACCATGGAGGCGAAGGTTCCATCTACGTCCGTACCTTTCAGTCTTGTTTAACTTAAAGTTTTGATATTTGTTGGTCATGTCTTTCATTAGCAGTTTTCACCTTTTTCATGTCGCTTTAAAGATTCAACTTCTGCAAAGGCAAAATCAACAGATTTCTTCAGTGCCTAGATGCTAATTGTGTTGTTAGCAATCATACCCTCCAGGTTATCTGCTCTTGTATTAATTGTGGCAACTATATTGGCCTGTAGTTTTGTTAAAGAAATGTCGCCTTTTTGCTTTTTTTCTTTAGGTTTAACAGGTGTGTCGGGGCAGATGGTGGTAAGGGCGTAAGAGCAGCTTCTTGATTATCAGCATCAGAAACAGCATAGTCATGATCCATGCTAGCTGGGCTGCTGGCTGGAATGGCTGAAGGGTTAGGGTTTAGGAACTAATCTTAGTTCCTTGTTCGTTTGGCTTCATAATGCTGGAATAGGGCGAAAAATAGGTCTGACCAGTAGCTAATTGCGGCCTAGCTGTGCAGGCTTCTTTTGATCCGTGCAGAGGAGCAATAAAGTTGGTATTGGGACAGCAGTCAGATTAGTAAGACTTTAAAATTGTTTCGGAGCAGTCAATATGTAGGTAAAGAAAGTCAAAAAGATGGTTCAAGGGATAGTAATTTAAAACACCGCCTAGCTACGAGGACTAGTGTGTCTCAGTCGCCATCTTGCCGAACTCGCATCGCTGCGGACTTGGGTGAAGTGCAGATTAAGGGTGCAATGGGGGCGTGGTCAACTTCTGCACTGGAGAATCGGGACACCCTACGCACTCGAACCCCTGGCCGGGCCGGCTCCTAAACTTAGCGCTGACCACAGTTTCTGATCTCAGGCTGTCAGAGGAAGCTGCGTCAGGTTTGTCACTGATCACTTTCCAATCTGGAGACAGGTGCAGCAGCTGACCTTTGACCTGTGAGCGACGGCAGCCTGCAGACTCAGAGGACTGATAATGGAGAGGAAGAGCAGGATCTTCTCTTCTTCTACTCAGACCTGCTTCAGACAGCAGAGTGAAGACGTTGGTGGAAGAGGGTGAGGAATTCCTACTTTGGTTCCTCCCAGTCCAACATGGTTCCTTCAGAGCTTTTGGTTCTTCTGGACATGATTTACAGTCTTAGATATGTGTTTCTAGAGAAGGTGTGCTTCTGTCAAACTACCTTGATTCTTTGGAGTTTTCATCTCTTAGACTGAGCTCATCCAAAAGTCCTCCAGATTGAATGAGTGAATCAGTTATTAGTGCAGGTGAAAGAATCAGAACTCATGTTGAACTGGTGGATAGAAAGAGGTTTTCCTCTTATCTGTGTTTATTAAAGACAAGCACAGAGCTGATTAAACTCTGGAGCTTTCTCTTTCACCTTCTTCTCAACAAGATTAAAGCTGTGGACTCAAATCCAAACCTCTCCAGAGTCTTGATGTTCAGACAATTAGCCCACTTGGATCACAGATGATGAGGCCAGCTCATGGTCCAAGATGATTTCTGCTTTCTTCTGACTGAAGCTTCTGAATGGCAGTTTAGTTGATTTTCAAATTTTCTCCATTCAAATGAAAGAAGCATAAAAATTTGTGATCATTATTTTGTAAGCGAGCAAACTAAGAAAATCAGGGGGGGTGGAATCATTTGTTCCTCCGGAGAATTTAGGTGTTGAATTCAGTAACACAGATGGATCAGATTCCTCTTTGTTCCTATACCTGCAACTATGTGATTCCAGTTAAATCTGCTCTTTTGATAATTTCCATCAGATCTTTAACACTATTTTACTATTTTAAGACTCATCATGCCGTCTTTTGAACAGCAAACTGTGATCCACACCTTCACTTCGTCCTTATTGTTGCTGTTCCAGACTCCTGCCCATAAGGTGGCGCTAATGCGCCTTTACGCTGGTCGCCAACCTCCAAATAACCCAGAAGCTGTTAGCACAGCTAGCTTATTGTTGTGTGTGAGGTGAACCTCTGAGGCGCTGCAGCAACAATGTCTTCAGCTCAGTCTCTGAGAGAGTTTATCAGAGAGCGGCTAACTGCTGCTGCTGCAGAAATATTCTCCGAGTTTGAGAAAACCATCGACCGCTACGAGGAAGAGCTCGATCGTCAGCGCAGACTGCTGGAGGTCCGCTGGAAACCACAGATCAGGTTACACAGAACAGGTATGGATCAGCGGCGGGAATCACATGGTTTTACTGTTTTATCCCAGGATCTGTTAAGTTCTGAAGCTTTCTGACACAAAAGAGCTGAAATCAGTCTGCGGTAAACCTTGTTCCACTTTGGAAGAATAAATCGTAACATTTCAGGACGTTTTCAGTCTCATTTTCAGGAACTCCACTAAATCAGTTTAGAAAACACTTTTAAGACTTTGTGAACGTTTCCAGCTGATGTTTTACAATCGGAGACTTGTTTGGAAACGTTTCTGTTATTCTGATCTGTTTGTGGACATCACCAGGTAACAGGGGCGGTTCTAGACCAAATTTTCCAGGGGGCCACAATGGGGCCAGTATTTTTTCATGGGGGCACAAGAAAAAAAAGGGAAAAATTAGGGCAATATCAAAATTCTTTTGTCTCCGCCATATGACCAATTTTGTGCTTGTGCACAATTTTACCAAAGGAAATTCCTAGTACTGTGAAACTACTCACTTTTTTGTTCTCTTCTTTTTCATATCTATCTTTACTATATTTTGGGGATCAAATTTATCAAAACTTTTCCTTTACTTTTTTCCATCTAAGATCTTTTACAGCTGTATTTTACTGAAATAAGATTCAAATAAATTCATAGTAAAAAACAATGAACAAGTAAACTATTACAGCGAATGCAGTAATGGTTTACTTGTGAAAGTAAAACTGGCATGTTTTTATGGTACTCAGATAACAATTCTGAATGCTTCACCGCAACACGAGACTTGAGTAAAAAAATTCTAGTTGATTATTATAGTTTGTGACTTTATTTGAAGATTACATGTACTGTACATATGAAAAATAAACATTCAAACAAATAAAATATGTGCACAGTACAATTTCTTAGTGCAATGCTTTTTGTAGTACACACACACACACAGAGAGAGAACAGCATTATATAAAGCTGTAACAAAAGTACTTTGCATGTACCAAAACAAAACCCTCCTCTCTCTGTTGCTTTTTTCCCAGTTCCTAAATCCACATGGTGAGTCAAACACACTTCCTGCGCTACTTGGTGGGCTAAAATGTCTGCATGCATGACAATAAGTAGAGTCCATAGTAACAGAATATTCAACCCAAGGATGACTTTCATACCAGCTTGGCTGAAAGCTGCGTCTTCTGTCTCCTATTAATGTCACTGGAAATGTCCTCAAATGAGGCTGAGTAGGTGGGTCATCCTTGCACTAGCTGATATCTGAAAGAAAATAAATGTTAGCATGAGGATAAAAGTCATAATTAGTTAATTCAGAGTCTTATTTTATCTATTTATTAAATATAAACAACAGAAATTTTGGTCCAGAGTCAGCATGCCTCAAATGCATTTTACACACAATATGAGCTGCAAGCACAGACGGGTTGTTCAACACCCACAAACCTGACGGTAGTGTACACGGTGCACATGACAGAAGATGTGCCTCTTTTTGCTCCTCACTCTCTCCCTCACAGCCTACATCTTCCTCCTCACTCTCAGGGTGGACAACCTCTGACCTCTCTGGTTCCTCTCCAACCAACTCCTCCTTCTCTCTTTCATCCTGCTTCTCTGCTCCCTCTCTCTGTCTACGCTGTTCTTTATGAACAGCGGTAAAAAAGGACAAAATGTCCCTTTTTCTTTTCATGGCCGCTGATGCTTCCAGTCAGTGCTGCGAGAGAGTCATAGATAAATGAATACTGTGATCTAATCTCAACGTGTCTAAAGCTTAAAATGCAGCAACTTCATTTTTATTTTACAGTTAATGTTACAAAGGAACAACAAATCAGCATTAACTGTGGATAGACTCAGTTAGGAACTTAAAAGTAAATGACAGAAACGCGCGACTACGATCAAAACACTGATGTCAGGAAAATAAACTGTATTGCTTACCTTCGTCTCTTAGCGTCTTTTCCGTTAGTCGTGCTCAAGAATTTTTTCGGGTCTTATTTAAACTTTTTAATCTTTTATTAAAAAATCCACCGGGTAAACAGTTCTGTCCACAGAGTGTGCTGCGCTCTAAAGGCTCCGTGTGAAACGCTGCAGCGCATTAGTTCCCGTCTCTGAGGCAGCGCAGGAAAAAACTCTGATCTCGTCAGCACAGGGGCCATAACAGGGGCCAGGGCCGTTTCTATTGAGGCCCAGGCCCCTGTTTAAAACCGCCAATGCCAGGTAAAGATGCCAGCAGGTACAGGCTGATTCCATGAAAACATCCTCAGGCATCAGAGACTGAAGCATCTGAGGAAGGTCTGGATGTTTATTTCTCTATAAAAGCTCACCTGGAGCTTCTGTGTGTCCATCCCTGACGTCAATAAGAATTAAATCAATAAATCTGATAGACACTAAGTTAGGGCTGCACGATATTAGGAAGACCTGCGATATTCGATAACAGTGATTAATATTGCGATGACGATATTACTTGCGATAAATAACAACTTAACTCAGGACCAAAGATAATCAAACAAAGAAATAAAAAAATCATAAAAATGAGAAAAGCAAAAATGTGAGGAAAGGGAAAAAGAAAATGAACAAGAAAAGGCAATCAGTGGATCCCGGGAAAAGCAGAACAAAGCAAACTCAGGTGTTTGCTAACCATCAAAATTAAGTACCGTCCACCTCAGGGGTGGGGAGCTAACCTATGAGAACCCACCCATTTGGCCAAATGGGTGAAGAGCTCTATTTGATTTGTTAAAAAAAACAATGCTTCCGTTTGAATGACAGAATGTATTATGTGTGGCAAACATTTGAGCTGACAATTCATTACGATATTTATCTGTTCTTTGCGATATACATATTGTGCATGCTGATATCGCGATAACGATATATTTACGATACACTGTGCAGCCCTACACTAAGTCCAGTTCTGCTGTCGGCCAGTCAGACACACACACCTGCAGCTGGACAGTCAGACACACACACACACACACACCTGCAGCTGGACAGTCAGACACACACACACACACACCTGCAGCGGGTCAGTCAGACACACACACACCTGCAGCGGGTCAGTCAGACACACACACACCTGCAGCGGGTCAGTCAGACACACACACTCACACCTGCAGCAGGTCTGTCAGACACACACACACACACACCTTCAGCGGGACAGTCAGACACACACACACACACACCTTCAGCGGGACAGTCAGACACACACACACACCTGCAGCAGGACAGTCAGACACACACACACACACACACACACACACACACACACACACACACCTACAGCGGGTCAGTCAGACACACACACACCTGCAGCAGGTCTGTCAGACACACACACACCTGCAGCGGGACAGTCAGACACACACACACCTGCAGCGGGACAGTCAGACACACACACACACACACACAGCTGCAGCGGGTCAGTCAGACACACACACACCTGCAGCAGGTCTGTCAGACACACACACACACACCTACAGCGGGTCAGTCGGACTCAGACACACACACACACACACACACACACCTACAGCGGGTCAGTCGGACTCAGACACACACACACACACACCTGCAGCGGGACAGTCAGACACACACACACACACACAGCTGCAGCGGGACAGTCAGACACACACACACCTGCAGGGGTACAGTCAGAAAAACACACACACACACACCTGCAGCGGGACAATCAGACACACACACACACACCTGCAGCGGGTCAGTCAGACACACACACACCTGCAGTGGGTCAGTCAGACACACACACACCTGCAGCAGGTCAGTCAGACACACACACACACCTGCAGTGGGTCAGTCAGACACACACACACCTGCGCGCACGCACGCACGCACGCACGCGCGCACACACACACACACACACGCACACACCTACTGTTCTCATCTCTGATTGTTGAACTGTGTGAGGTTTAAGAGTTCATTATTTTCCAGAACGTCTTCAGATGCATCTTTCTGTCACATGAATCAGCTTTTTGTTTGGTCTGTTTGTCCAGAACTCCCACTGCATGATGTCAGGACAGATGAGGAGGTTCTGACTGACCAGCAGCTCTGGAACCAGGAGGGGACCTCCAGTCTGGAGCAGGAACAACCAGAAACGCCTCAGATGAACAGCGAGCAGGATGAGCCAGAAGGTTTGCAGATTCTAGAACAAGAGGAGTTCTGCATCAGTCAGGATGAAGAGCAGCTTGGACTGAAGCTGGAGAACGTCACCTCCTTTGTGACTCCTGCTGATGAGGAACGAGACCACGATGAACCAGAACCAAACAGACACCAACTCATTTCTTCAGGGTGTCCTGAGGCAGACTTCAGGGTTGCTGCTCCTCTGGGGTCAACAGGTGAGAGGGGGCTGTGGTCATTTTTCTTAGTAGAAGAAGCACGCCATAATTGATTATATTATTATTAATAATATTAATAATAATACATTTGATTTGTAATGCACTTGACGTCTCGCTGAAATCTCAAAGTGCTACAGCGGAATTCAAGTCATCTATAATGATTATAGTGAAATGCGGTTTTGTTCTTCCGACCGCGGCACCGGCGGCGCATCCAAATTCACCAGAGTGGGACGCGTCGTCCACATTCATGAGTAGGAAATATTGGTCTGCATTTTTGTGGTGTTGCAGGGCTGAGGGCGGGAGCTCTCACCGGAGACCCAAGCCCGACGGGTTCAGCCGGTAAATCATGTTATCAGAAAGATGAAACCATCCACCTGTTGCCTAGACCCACTCCCAACTTTCTTATTAAAAGATCACAATGATGACACGAGCCCTCTCATCACTTCTGTTATCAGTCTCTTCAAACTGGCAAAGTTCCTTCTGCCCTGACGAAATCCATTGTTAGACCACCACTCAAGAAGCACAACCTCAACCCTGAAGACCTCTCCAACTACAGACCTAGCTCTAAGGAGAAAGTTGTCATCCATCAACAGGACCACCTCGAACTAAATAATCTCTATGAAAATTTTCAGTCCGCCTGCTGCTCCTCTGTTCACATCAGGTGAGAATTTTCGACGTGCACTTCTGCTCGCGCCCACCCCTTTAATTATCACATTATCCCTCAAATTATCACTTTAATCAATCTTGGTGTTTTATTTTGAAATTTTTCTTTATTCTGTTAAACGTACCGGCCTGCCTTTTCTGTTTTGGTTTAAAATTCCTGCCAGAATTGACGTGACTCGCGAAAAAAAATCTAGCACGTTTCACAGTTGACGTGATCGAGACCATAGGTTAACAAAGGCGCCGAATAGAAGCGTTCTTCGTGCCGCGGCGCATCATCGCGCTTCCGCGTCTGATGTGAACGAGGGGTTACTGACAAAGTCCTCAGGTGGTTCCAGTCAGATCTTACCAACTGCACCATGGGTCGATCGGCCTCAAACCTCCACGAAGTTTCGTGTGGCGTTCTCCAGGGGTCAGTTCTTGGACCTATTCTTTGCACCCTCTACCTTTCCCTGTTAAGTAAAGTCATTAGACTTCATGAGTTCTCACTCCATTGCTGTGCCAATCAGCCACCGATCTTCAGCCACATCCATAACATCTTCACCAATCGACCCGTCAAAACTCACTATCTGTCTGGAGGAAATAAAGGTAAGGTTGGAGTAAAAGTTTCTCCAGCTAAATGGCTCCAAAACTGAAGCCATCTTTACTGGTACCCCACATTAGACCAAATCATCATCCTTAACGACCATCTCCTTCTCTGGCTCCAACAAATCTAGGTGTAAAAATGGACCCTCAACTCACATTTGAATCCCACATTAATCATTTCTGTAAAGCTACAGTTTTCCATCTCTGGACCATTTCAAAACTTTGTAGCGTCCTATCTCTGTCCAATGCTGAAAAGCTAGTCCATGTGCTGGTCTTCTAAAGATTGGACTACTGCAACGCGCTCCTCATTGGGATCTCCAACAAATACATCCAGAATGCTACAGCCAGAACCCTAATGAGGGCTCACATACATAAATACCTCAATCTGTTCTTGATTCAAAGAAAAGCTCAAGTCTAAATATTCGAAGTTGATGTCAAAGCCGCTTGTCACGAGTTTTTGTTGTTTTGCTCAGTCGCAGTAACATCCCGCCCACTAAACCAATGCGATGTTTGTCAAAATAAGTCATCAGTAACTGATCGTGTCATACCGCCATGGTAAAATAAAAGCTGCCACACCTATAGAATACATTTTTGCTGATTTTAAAAGATATTGTAATGACTAACTTGTTATTTCTGTTTCGGATCTATATCCCGGGTTACTGTTGGCCACAGCCCACGCCTTAACTCTAAACAACTGAACCGGAACTCTCCACACAACCGGCCAAGAACACCCCCTTCAACATAAAAGTCCAACCATAACAAACCGTAACCTCTTACACTACTGGAGAACAATGTAAAGCGTGAAATATATAGCCTACATTTGTGCACTTAGACTAACCATAATCGTAGTTTGAAATGAATTTAAATATGAAACATTCAAAATTTACTTTTATTTTGACAAAGCCACTGGCTTCTTCCCGTCTAGCTGGGGTGCTTCGAGTGTGCTTCTCATGAGAGACGGTCTGAAGTAGAGGAGAAAATCTGTGTCCCACCTTGACAGTCTCCCATTTCGAGTTCAATATTTGTATAAACTGTGGAAAAAGCAGGAGGCGGGACTTAAACACAGTTTCAGGTTCAGAGCACGCCCACGCTAAACCAGCAACACTAAATGAAAGGGCAGGGTGAACACAAATGATCAAAAACTGAATAAAAGACCAAGAACAGATAGATAAGTGGAGGAAATATCTTATTTTGAAACATCAGAGGTGAAGTAACGTTTCAGAAGCGAATAAGGGGCGTTCCCGTTTACAAATCAAAACGCCCCTTTTAGCGGCTGGCCGGATTACTCTGCTGCCTGCAGTCACCCCCCCCCCCCCCCACACACACACACACACACACACACACATACAAATATAATCTCACTGCACAAATAAAAACACACAAGCATCAAGTGTGTGTGTGCGTGCGTATGTCAGAAGGCTGAGCAATAACCTGTAGAATAATTAAAGTCATCATGCTAGAGCAGCTTTCTCTGTGGTGGACCACACCAGCTTCTGCCACTAGGAGCAGAGAGGGATAATAAATAATAATAGTAATAATTAATAATAATAAATCACACACAAAGTTGTAAGATTTTTTATTTCCTTTGTGAACTATGTAGTCTGTTGAGAGTTTTAACGCTTTAAATCTGTTAAATGGAGCTGCTGTCAGGAACAATCTTAAGTTTCAGTTTCCCGTCTGAATGAATGGCTGCTGCAGCATGCAGGTGTAGACTCAGTCATCCTAGACATCATCCTGGTGGTCTTAATGAAAACAGCTGGACCTTTCTGGTTATGTTGGAGACCTTTAACTCTCAAAAACACGTTTTTGTCTAAATGAAGGTGACGTTATTGTTCATAGAGTTAAAGTTCATGTTGAAGTTAAGATTATTTTATCAAGTAGGACCTGTGGTTGGCTGGCTCATTTAATACATGTCATGTCTTGAAAAGAATTGGGAATCAATAGGAACCGGAATCGAAATGAGGAATTGGAATAGTTCAAATTGAAACGATGCCCAACCCTACCAAAGGCATAAAGAGAAGGTATAAAGAGAAGGCATTTGTCAGGGTGTGGGGTTGGAGGAAGGTTAGGGCCCAAGGTGCAGACCCAGGATGACACAAGGCAGGAGTAGTGAAAAGTAAAATTCCTTTATTTAGGAGGTAAATCCAAAAGGCTGGAAGCAAAAAACCAAAAATCAAAAAGTCCTAGAGGCAAAACCGGGGAACATCCAAAAATTCACAAGAGACCTAGAGAATATATCCAAATACCAAGAGAGAGAGGGGGGGGGGGGGGGGGGGGAGGAGACAAGGCTGACACAAACAATAAACCAACACCACAGTGAGACGCAGACAGGGTTAAATACACTGGGGCAGGATGATTGAAAGATAAGCTGCAGGTGCGTGGGGAGAGAAACCTAGTGAAATCAATTAACTAATCAGGGAGAGGAAAGTGAGCTGAGGAGGGGAAAATAACATGACCTAGGAATAAAACAAAACCTAAAGACTAGAAGAGCAAGATAAATAACTAATGATCTTAGGAGGAAGGAGAACTAAAAACTGCTGGGGAAAGAAACAGTAAAAGAGACTAATTAAATGAAAAGCTGAACCTATAGAAAAACCACAGAGGGGTGACTAGGGGAGACCAACGGGAGCGCAGGACCTGGGGGATACCTGGGGACACATGAGGGAGACGCAGACCATGACAGTTTTTTGTGTGAGAATTGCAACATTAGGAAATTGCTGTGTTACTTGGTGCAAGAAACAATAAATAACAAGCAAAATTAGAATAAAGAAATAAACACAAAGGAATGATAGTATATGGATAATTACTGAAGAAGTCAGTGTTGGTACTGGTCAGAGCAGGTCAGTTCAGGTGCAAACACAACACAGGACTGAAGCAAAGCAGCTGGAGTGGGCGGGTCTACGATTGTCAGTCATGGGTCCGACCGCAGAGGGGAAGAAACTGTTTTTGTGTTGGGAATAAAAATGGAAAGAAACGGTCTTGCTTGTACTGATGCAGCATTTGAAAAACACGTTAGCCCCTTCTTTTAACTTGTAAAAAAAACCTTGTTTACAGTAATAACTACGACCAATGTTTGATTATCCGCCTCATTATTTTTAATTAAAAAAATTGCTTTGAAGGCACATTATCCCAAACAATTAAAATGTGATTAATTACAAAGCTTCTAATTAATTAGTTTTTTAATCAAGGCGCATCAAAATACATCAGCTGTAAATGCATTAAACATTTTATTTGCCGTTTCAAAAGACAGAACAGGCTTCTCTTACGTTCTCATGTTGTCCAACACCAATGTTTTGGGAGCTGTACTACATTGAATGAGTGAGCTCTGTGCATTAATTACTGACGAGGAGGAGGTACCCGGCGTGTTGGTATGTGATGCAGAGGGAGTCTGACCAAGTGCCCGTTGATGTGAGCATGGAGGGAGATTGAACTGGAAAACCACAAACAGCCAGTTAAATTACGCCTCGTTTAATGGCGTAATTTTCTCACATCTTTGATCCAATTACAACAGGGTTCTATATTTACATAAAGGAGGTATAATTCTCTGCTCCTGTAGCTTAAAAATATTAGAAACACGACAAATGTTATTATGGTACATTTATAATTTGTAATGAATTGCGGTTAATCGTGAGCCATGTGACTAATCATGATTCGAATATTTTGTCGACTGATGGCTCTTATTGTTACAATAATCAATGCTTTCTTTTGTCTTTAATCCTGTCTAGAACTTCCACGGCATCCTGTTTGTGAAAGGGAGGAGGTTCTGACTTACCAGCAGTTCTCCAACCAGGAGACCACCTCCAGTTTGGACCAGAAGGAACCAGAACCTCCACTGATCAAAGACGAACAGCAGGAACTTTGTTTTCACCAGCATGAAAGGCCGTTCATCCTGAAGCAGGAAAATGTTACCTTCATGTTGACTCCTCCTTTTGAAGAAACAGAAAGCTGTGAACCAGAACCAAACAGGAACCAGCCCTCGTGTCAGAGTTCTACTGAAGCTGAGAACCAAGATCAGAATGGATTCAGGAATGAAAACCCAGAACCAAAAAGCAACGAAGAACTGACACAAAATAAAAGAAGTCAACAAACCAAAGATGACAGAGACTGGGTATACAGTCAGAAACGAAAAAGGCACCAGAGGCCTCACAGAGGTGAGAGACCATTTTCATGTAAACTCTGTGAGAAATCTTTCAGTCACAAGTTAGTCTTAACTCTTCACATGAGAACTCACACAAGTGAAAAGCCATTTCCATGTGAAGCTTGTGGTAAATGTTTTCTCAACAGTAGTTCCTTGATTAAACACATAAAAATGCACACAGGTGAGAAACCACATCCATGTGAAGCTTGTGGTAGTTGTTTTATTAGCAGTCGTACCTTGACTAGACACATGAGAACTTGCACAGGTGAGAAGCCATATCGATGCAAGACTTGTAATAAATGTTTTGCTGAGACTAGTGCCCTGAGTAGTCACAGGAAAACTCACACAGGTGAGAAACCACATTCGTGTGAAGCTTGTGGTAAATGTTTTACTGGCAATAGTACCTTGACTAGACACATGAGAACTCACACAGGTGAGAAACCATTTCCATGTGAAGCTTGTGGTAAACTTTTTTCTCGAAGTGATCACTTGAACAGACACATGAGAACTCAACACAGCTGAGAAGTCTTTTCCATGTTTGATCTGTAGAGCGAGATTCAACCAACATTTTCTTTAACTTCTCACGTAAAAAGTCACACTTGATATTTAATTAACAAAATGTTTGTTAATTTTTTTTTCCTTCAAAAGCAACCCGACTGAAACACGAGAATTTATAAATTTAGGAAGAAATGGGATTTAGACAACATTTATTACTGAATGCATTTAGAGTATAATAGCATAGTTTAGCAAACAGGTTTTAATGGTTCAAAGCTAGGGCTGCACTATATTAGGAAAACCTGCGATATGCGATAACAGTGATTAATATTGTGATGACGATATTATTTGCGATAAATAAAAACTTAACTCCAGAACAAAAATATTCAAAAACAAAGAAATAAAAAAAATGACATAAGCAAACAATGTGAGGAAAGGGGAAAAGAAAATTAACAAGAAAAAGCAATCAGTGGATCCTGGGAAAAGCAGAATCAGCAGAAAGAGCAGAATAAATCTAACTCAGGTGTTCACTAACCATCAAAATTAACTGCCGTCCGCCTCGGGGGTGGGGCTTCTAACCTATGACAGGGTATCCGCGGGTCCTTAAAAAGTCTTTAAGTGTCTTAAATTTGCTTTTCCAATTTAAGGCCCTAAAAATCCTTAAAAATGACAAATAATCCTTAAATACAGTTTCCAAAGGTCTTAAATTACCAAAGACCCAATAAACAACATTTTTTTTATTTCTATAAAATTTTTGTGAATTTCTAGTTAGTGTTCAGCTTTTTTTGTGTATGATGTTGGCATAAGTGGAACCGTACACATTCAGTTGGTTGTGAAAGGGGGCTATTTTAAATGAGCACATTAGCTGATTAAGCTAGTGGGAGCTTGCGCCATGGGGAAGTGCAAGTTTAATGGTAACTGGATGGCTAATCCCACATTCGCAACATGGTTAGCACCAGTTCCAGGCAATAGCTGGAAATTATAGCTTAAATTTAATTTTAAAAATAGCTTAAATTTGGTCAAAGTGGCCTTAAAAAAGGTCTTAAAAAGTCTTCATTTGGCTCCCTTAAACCTGCAGATACCCTGTATGAGAACCCATAATGGGTGAGGAGCTCTATTTGATTTGTTAAAAAAACATCATGCTTCCATTTGATTGACAGAATACATTATGTGTAGTAAACATTTGAGCTGACCATTCATTGCGATATGCATATTGCACATGCTGATATCGCGATAACGATATTTGCAATATATTGTGCAGCCCTATTCAAAGCTGACATTTTTTACTTGCAGAGTTTATTTTTGTCATTTAAGATGTGTTTCTGTAGCTCTCTGTTTCCTGTTTAATAAAATAATCGATTTATGTAATAAAACTTTGAGTTAATGTATATTTGTAAGTTTTTCAGTTTACACACAATTTTGCATAATTTATGGTGATAAATTATTTCATGAAACAAATGTGTGGGGCCGTTTGAGAGTCGGTTCATTTTAGTAAGCTTATTTCTTTGGGCTCTAGGGCTTTTTTTTATTTCAAGAAATCCGCTAAAAAATGACATGCCCACACTTTGAGCAAATATATGTAACCACATGGTCCTTTACATAATTTTGGTCTTATTTCAAAGGGAACTTTTGTGGGATTTGCTGAGATGTATTAATGTTAGTGTACAGCTGGGAAGTAAGTCATCAACACAATAGCATTTTTATCAGTAAGGGTATTTCTAAGTGGCCTATTGACACAAAATTTGCTCCACGTACCAAAATCAACTCAAGTATTCAATTTATGCAAAGGCATCTAAACATTTAAGTCCATAAATTGAGTTATGTGTAATAAAGTGAAAAGACACAGGGAAAAAGTATTAACCACATGAAGAGAAAAAATGGCATAAAAAGCCAGTAGATCACCTGCAATCTGTCAGTGGGTATGGAATGGGGGTAAAAGCAAAAAAACTCTTCCAAGATCTTTGTAACTTTATCCCTTAGTCCCAACTCCAATTCTAGCATATCATCTCTGCTGAGCTGCCTCAGTGGCCTCCAACTGTGGCTCTCCGACAACTCACTGCTGCTAACTGAAGACAAAACTGAGTGTGTTGTTTTTACTCCCTTAAACAACCCAGGTGTTCTTGTGACCGACCTTGTTTGGCCATTAGACGTAGGCAACACGTTAGAAACCTCGGTGTAATCTTCGATGAACACATGAGTTTCGACAAACAGATCAATGCCGTAGTCAAGTCAAGTTTTTATCAACTTAGGGCTGTTTCCAGGCTGAAACAATTTTTAACCCGCTCTGAAATGGAAAAAGTAATTTATGCCCTTATAAGCTCACACATCGATTACTGCAACGCCCTGTATGTCTGTTAATCCAAGTCCTGCATTGCTCGTCTTCGGCTAGTCCAAAATTCTGCAGCCCGTCTCCTCACTAACACACTTAGGCGGAGCCATATTACTCTTATTCTCTTAGAACTTCACTGGCTTCCTGTGTTTTTCAGAATATAATTCAAAATTATACTGTTCACATTCACGAGTATCCATGGCCTCTGTCCTGCCCATCTCTCGGACTCCTTGTTATACACGGTCCACTAGGTCAACGGGGAAGATTTTTCTTGAAGTCCCTCGATCTAGATACAAGCACTGGGGTGACCACTCTTTTTTCAGTCGCGGCTACAGCAGTCTGGAACAAACTTCCTGATGACCTGCGTTTGACTTCCGAGTTGTCTTTGTTCAAGCAAACCTACCTTTTCCAACAGGCGTTTATCAGTTGCTGTCCTCCGTTGGCTCTCTTAATCTCTTTTTTTAACTTTCTCTTCACCTTAGTTATGTGACTTTATATTGTATTTACTCATACATTATTGTTTTATGAGTTTTTACTTGCACTGGTTTTATGTAATATCTTTTATGTCCTGTAAAGCACTTGGGTCACCTTTCATGGTTGTGGAAAGTGCTATACAAATCAACTTGATTATCTTTGAAAAGAATTTTGATGGGAATGGTTATTGCTGGGTTTCACTCACGTGACCCTGCAGTCTCATGAAATTCAAACACGATGGATGAAAGCAAGTAGACTAAGGCTTTAAATGGGATTGCACAGATGAAATTTCGAAAAAATATATATCTTCCTTTAGGTTATGGCCCATATAGTTATTAAAAGTGGGACTTTTCATACATTCTAGAGGATATACCCAGCGCCAAAGCGATCACGATAAACTATCTCGCGCGGCATGCCTCATCTTACACTGTAAACCAAATGAATGCTGTTTATAAGCCTGGAATCCTGCAACTATTTTATTTCAGGTTGAGGTAACCATTTGGTGACCCAGAGAAGGTTTAAATGGCTGTGTCTTTGTTTGGGTAAGTAATGAGTTCATTAGCTCAAGATGATAATGTTGCCAATAATGCTTACGAGTGTGTTTATGTGCTAGGATCTACTTTTAAAGTACTTATTATGCCTTAAAAAAATCTGGTACATTTGTTTAATTTTAATAATGTATTAACTCCACATTACAACACTAAGCTAACTGCTAAAAATATTAGCAATCTGAACGCTTTTGTGGTACAATCAAGCTAGAACGTATGAAAACACAAATTGTTTACCTCAACAAATTCATAATTTTACTTGTTTTTTAAAGGTGCAGCTTGACGATGATTATTGAAATGTGGCATGAAGTTAGCTGCTAAATGCCTTTTTCACCACAAAGGGTTAAAAGAGCCATCACACCACTTGTTTGAGTTGCTTAAATCCATACCATGCTACTCTTCAAAATTTTTAAATTATTTTCCTGAGCTAGCATGTGCTAAAATGACCCTTTACAGAACAGCTCCGGTCCTGGAGGGCCGGTATCTAGCACGTTTTAGTTTTAACACACCTGATTTCAATCAGCCTGTAATTAACAGGCTTCTGCAGAGCCTAATGAGCTGCTGCACAGGTGATTCCACCACTGAATCAGGTGTGTTGGAGCAGAGAAACCACTAAAACGTACTGGCTCTCCAGAACCGGAATTGAATACCCCTGCTTTACAAGGTTAATGAAACATCGCTCAGACCACACTGCCCTGTGGCCAGAAAATCACTCTTGCAACTTCATAGTGTCGGTCTGGACCCTGTTGGACTTAGTAAAACTGGAGCGGACATACCTGGTGCAGCAGTCTTGCCTGGCCTGCCAGAATCCTCCTCTGTTAATTTTCTGCAGAGAAAGGGTCTTGTAACACTCCTATTCAAGTAACCCCACCCCCTGAGAATTCGAACCGAGCCGATCAACGCTGAGCAACGTATGTCACACACCACAACGCTGAGTTTGACATAAACATCGCGACTGAAGCGAAGTTTCTTTCCTCTGGTCTAAATGACTTGAACATGTCTTTAAAACCACAACAAGTCAAAGTGCTAAAAGGTAGTTCATCCCATGTTTAGCTAGTGGAAGCATATAGATCGAGATGAGGAGAGGACCAAGCATTGAACCCTGTGGCACTCCTCAAGGGAGTGACACAGTGGGAGAGGTGCAGTCCTCGATTTGGACACTAAAATGTTGATCAGTTAAGTGAGACCTTAACTAGTCAAGTGAGGTCCCCCTTTACACCACCCAAGACTCAAGTCTGTTCAGTAAGGTCGTATGGTCTGCTGTATCAAAGGCCGCGTAACAGCAAGACAAAGTGACGGACCAGAATATCTGTAGCACACAAACATGGGAAGTTGGACCTGAAATCAGACTGAAACGGGTCAAGAAGGCAGGCCCAACAAAATCAGAAAGTAAAACTGAGTTCTTTAAAGTTTTAAAAAGAACCACACCTAGAAAACAGCAGGATTAGCAATTGTGTTAAGTAACAAAAATAATAATTGATCAGAATCAGAGGAAAACAAGTTTGACTCAACGTTTTATTCACCAGGAGACACACAGCTGAAATAAATAAGAGGGGACAACTGTTGTCATGGTAACTACTGTATTCATCATCCTAAAATCTGAGTGAGTAACTTATAACAGGTTAGCACTAGATGCAGTCAGATTCACAGATCCTTTCATTTTAGCACTAACAAAATAGTGGTTCACAACTTAATGCTGGAGGATTTAGCAGAGGAATGTTTCTCCTAATGGCACATCTGAAGATGTTTCCTGATTAAATCGCTTCTGCTGCGATGCGCCCGGTCAAGCAGAAGTTTTACAAAGTAAAAAGTCACAGTAAAAAACAAATATAAAACGTAGGAAATCCTACAACAGGCTGCATTTGACATCATAAAACACGCATTTCACGTGTTTTGGGTTCCTGAAAAGAAAAATTCACTGAGCTGACCTTTAGCCTGACGTGAGCTGTTTTTATGGCTTCAATAAACAATCCAGAGACTATATACACCAAAACCTGCCGGTTGTTTAAAGTGCCTAAATGATAGAGCTGAGTTTATACCATCTTTACAGGAGTTTTTATTATAATAATGATTTTATCCAGGCTACCACAAGCTCGTTAATTTCTCGCTTTAGTTAAATAAACATCTCCCATTTTTCAGTCCTTAATCTTTTCCACTATCATTGTAACACGAAGCCTCTTGTTTGTTTTTGAATTTTAAAGTCTGTTATGCTTTTCTTTTCTCCATCTTCATCAGCCGTTGATGAGCAAAAGAATAAGAACATAAACCAGACAGTCATGTAGAAGTCTACCTGTGAACCAAGAGCTACGAGACCTTCAGTATAAAGTCTGGAGCACCTTCAGATTCTGCTTTTATTGTGAAATTTGAGATGGATGAGTGGGGAATGATTGCTGCCTTGTTAAGCCCTGAGGTTTCTTGACAATCATTGGGATTATTTTAAATAATGCCTTCATCTTTTACTTAAAGTTTCACAGAGATTTAAATCTTCTCCGACATATCTTGGAAATGTTGAACCTGCTTATTTATGCACTGGGACGAGACTAAACCAGCCCTGGAAGGAGGAGTAAAGTAGTGGCGTCCGTGTCCCACCAACTTTATGATCCGATGTGTTTGCTGGTAGCAGGCAGGAGTTTCCACTTGGTCCACCGTTTGGCACAAGTCTCTGAGGGTTACAGCTTAGAGGATTTGACACGCTGAAAAGTGGCGCAAACTACCGGCAGCTTCTGTCCATGGAGCTTGAGAGGAACTAGTCATTTGGTCACTTGGATATCAGGATCTGTGGTGATTTCAGAGATTAGTCTCATCCCAGGTTGGGTCGTTCATGTTCTTCAGGACTCTCCGGACAATCCTCTCCAGCTCTTTTCTAGCTTGCTGTTCTTCCTCCAGCGTCCTCTTTAACCCCTTGTTGTCCTGGGGGAATAATGGGAGGTACAAAAGATGAAAGCTCTAAAAGCAGAGTAGGAGATGTTTATCTTTAAATGCTCTTCGCACACCAGATCATACCAGTTTATCCATAGAGCACTGTGAGCACAGCATTACTACTGACTACAGTGCTGAAGATTGGCAGGGACAGATAAAAACAGGTTAAAACGAAGAGATGACATTTAAAACTGACACAAGGACACCAACAGATACATGAAAAAAAGACATTTTACTAGAATACAGGAAGGAAGAAAATAAAGAGGCTGATCCAGAATGCGGTGATGGATTAAAAACCTGAGAAAAGAGATAAAAATAAAACCAACCAAAGGAGGATGCCTGCCTGCCTGACCTGGAGGAGAAGTGAATACCAGCACTACGGGCCGCTGACCGTCAACGCCCTTTCACCTCTAGCCTTGTACTGTGCCTTAGGGACGCATGGCGGATCCAAGAGCATGCGAGGGTTGACGAAGGAGCTGTCACATAGGCTGGAGAAAGACCATTCAGAGATTTGAAAACTTAAAATTGACCCTGAAATGAATGGGCAGCCAGTGGAGACGTTTTAAGATCAGGGTAATATGTTGCCGTCTACTGGTTCTGGTAGAGAACAAGTTAAAGGCGTGCGAGATGCTTTACTGATCCCATAGAGAGTTGTTTAAGTAATAAATGCATGGATTAACGACTCGAGGTGACGATTACCCAGCACAGACCAACGTTTAGAGCTCCACTTAAGCTGGAAGAAGCAGGATTTCACAACAGAGTTGACCTGAGATTCCATTTTCAGGGCCGAGTCCATTCCATCCAGGTTTGCAGTCGTAGACATGACATGAGGAAGGTGAGAGAATGGAGCTCAGGTGTTTGGCATCAGCTAGACTTGGAGATCTAAAGAGTGTAACTTTGGTTTTAGAGTAATTAAAATTCACCACCAGCCAGTCCTTGATTTCCTGTAGACAATCAGAAGGAGATTGGAAGGAATCACTGGGTTTGAAGGACAGATACATTCGACATTCATCTGCGTAGAAGCTGTAGTGGACAGAGTGCTTCCTGAAGACATCACCCAAAGAAAGGATATGAATGGAAAACCGTAGCGGACCACGGATGGAGCCTTGAGGCACTCCTAATGAATGGGAACTGAGATGAACAGTCACCCAGCACAATGCTAAGACTCCTGTCATGAAATTAGGAGCAGAACCAGTTCAGGGCTGATCCTGTAATTCCGGTCTTCTGCTCCAATCTGGAAATCAGGATGTGATGGTCAACTTTACCAAAGGCGGTGGACAAGTTGAGGAGAACAGGAAGAGCACAAAGCCCTGATTGGGTGAAAAGTCTGACACTTTTTCTAGACGAACTCACCATGACCAAGCTGCTTTCATTTCTCAATCCTGGTTTGAAAATTAATCAGAAATAAAAAATAAGGCAACAAAGCGTCCGTTTTTATTTCATTTGAAGTAATAAGGGGTTTCCCTTTATATTCACTCATCCCAAGACTCTTATGTTAGTTTCTTATTTTGGTAATTTTTACATGAATTTCCTGATTATATCTATACATTTATATTTAATAGACTAAAACGTGCTCTACCATGTGACTGACCAAAGTTATTGTGATAAAACAGCAGGTCACAACAGTACAAAATAGCATGAATCAACATCAGTCCTGAATGCGAGAAGAGGTGAAGCTTCATTTCCTAACACCATCTTTTATTAGTTTCTACCGTAACGGTCTTAAAGGGTTCGTTCATCGTGAGCCACCCACAGGAAGGAGAGTAGAGCTAACCGTTAGCATTACACAACAAAGCAGAACACGTTCAAGCTTTTATTTATGGAGATAAAAAAATCAAGGATTCTGTTTTACCAAAGGAAGGAGAACAAACGAAGAATTCACGAATCAGGAGAGACATTTGCATATCATGAATATTAATGAGGATTACTATCCCCCCCCATACAAGAAAAATAATTTCATTTATTTAGTCGGAGCTTTAAATGGATGATCGTACGGCAGCAGCCCCTTATTAGAGCGCTCCCATTGAAAACGGCGCTCGTTAATCTGATTGTTATAGATTTAAAAAGATAAAAGCAGAAGCAGACTCACCTGTTTGAGCTTCTGAACCTCGTCTCTGAGACTGTAGACCGTGTCCACCAGACTCCTGCAGGGAAGGAACAGCTGATCTTCACCACTGAAAATGGTTACCTAGGCTGGTGTCCTATGCCTTCTTACCTCTCCTCCACCACGGTCTGTCCGTTGCTTCTGGTTTCTTCTACTATGATCTTCTCCTCCTCTGGAAACAACATCTGAACGTCCTTCCTGCTGGAACCTAAACAAACACGAAACCCTGTTAGAAAGCAGGAAGTCCCTGCTGAAGCCTGTCTTATGTTGGCTTTAACAAAGATGACTAGTAAGTAAACTAGACCCAAACACACACATCTACCACTAGTGCCGGCCGGATCACCAGCACGTCACCGCTTTGCAACTCTTACGAGAAAACGAGGCGGTCCTGTGACTCTGGGAAGTCCAGATACTGTCATAATCCGAGTCTTCTGATAGGTCAGAACACTGAACGTTGCCAGAACACCCAGCCACAGCGAGGCTGTTCTCATCGAGCACGTGGTTGTGCATGAGGTCGGTTCCTTGCCAGGCTTTACAGAACCATAAAACAACCAGCAGCATAATGTCGGGGTGAATTAAAGCATGTAGGGTCAGACAAACCAGAACCGATGTGTGACACGAAGGCAGAGTAATAACGAAAGATGTGGTGTGTGAGGGAGGAAGCAGCACGAATATAAAAAAGGTAAAGACATGAAAAGAGAAGAGAGAAGAGACATTGTTAGTGGAAGAAGCTGAGAACAAACACTGACCGAGACACTCGGTCTGCACGACAGGTTATGAGTGAACTCACTAGAGTTGAGAGTCTGACGAGTCTTGGCGCTCGTACAGTAAGCCTCGATCACTTTAAGTATCTGAGCGTCCTCCTCCGGAGCCGCTGTGCCTGGCACACAAAACCCAAAACAGCACGTGTGTTAGCGCATCGTACGTCCACGGAAATGACCGGAAATAACACGTACTCTTTCTAGCGCTGAAGTCTTCTTCTGAAGGTTTCCGCTCCGGTTTCCTGATGGGTGGAAACTTCTTCTTGTTTTTATCCTTCAAATTAAAAATGCAAAATGAGAGACCAGATAAAAAAAAATACTCTTGTCCACGGCTTTCCACCAGATGCGTAAGCATCGCCAGACTTCTGTAAAGTGCAAAGATTAGCTAAACATATGCGCCGGGTCTTTTTTAACACGCTATGCTTCCAAAACGCGTGAAGCTCAGCGGTTCAGAACAGACCAGACGGGAAATTGCGGGAGCGGCGTAAAGTCATGGAGAGCCCCGTGCAATTTTAACTGAGTGCTGCTCAGCGTTAGCCGATGCGTTTTAGCTTTGTTGGCCAGCTACAGGTGCACGTTCACGAACAAGGGGCGTTGCTTCCAGGCATAGGGAGAGGAGCTTAAGGTGCGATACATCCTTCTGCCTCTAGATGGTGCCCTCTGAGAAAAGAACTCCGGATTTCTAACCTGGCAGCCATCTTAGATGAGATAAATGACCATTGAAACAACCCAGTCGTGGGGTGTAATATTTAAGTCATCCCCTCACACAACTGTACAGCACTAGCATCAATCAGAGCCATCAACAACGTAACGTATTCATCGCTTTGCAAATACGTTAATGTGGCAGTTTGTCGTACACCAAAGAAAAAAAAAAACTATTTCTAAATAAATACCCCCATCTGCTCATGTCTCAGAGAAAAGCCCGAGTGCGAGTCATCTGAATCGGATGCCAAAGCCGTTTCAAATGAGCCGCCTTTATGGTTTTTCTCCACCGCGACTCTAGTGCCAAGCCAACCCAAGGTCTCTCCACAGACAGCTCTGTGATTGGTAAGACACAAGAATGATCAGGCCATTGGCAGACCTGCGGAGGCTAGAATGGAGCGTGGCTAGACCGGCCTGCAGAGCAGCTACCAGATTTCTGCTTTAACTAATAAAAACTACATCGTAACTTATGACAGAAGAACAGAAAATCAACCACAGACCCACTGGTCACACATGGCTGTCTTTCTCCTTGCATCCTATCAAGCAAAATGCCAAAGTCATGCATGACCTTACAATTCTTCTGCATCTGAAACGCTCCTGCTAGGAAGAAGCGCGTCGCTGACGTCTGCGTTCTGCACGTTACGCAACACTTCTCTAGTGGAGCTCAATGGGGAAGTACCTCCTTGATGCACAGAGCAGCAGAGGGTCTGAGAGGAGGAGCAGGTCGGAGGCAGCTCAGAGTCCAGGGTTTAGGGGTGCTCGGAGGCTCCAGGGGTCCCCACACGGGGCTGTTATTCTGACTCGTAGTGTAGGAGGGAAGATGAGGCAGAGTGTGGTAAACGTTTCCACTGTTGACTCCACGAGTCTCCGAGAGTCTGAAGGGAGTGATGGAGTGGGAGGGCAGCTGGGGGCGGAGACAGAGGAGAGGGCGTTGAGGTGAAGGAGCTGGTTCCAACGAGCTTTAATCAACGATGGAGACTCACCGTGTGACACGGAGCCTGGGGTTTGCGTGAGTGTGGGGGGGTCGTGTGTGTGTGTTTGGTGAGAAGGTCCAGCCAGTCCTGCAGATCCCGCTGACTGCTGCAGGCCACCTGGACCCGCTCACACGGAGCGCCTGCAGGACAACACGTGGTCAGAAGTCACGTGTCCCTTAGATAAACATCTAAAGAACTTTTATTTGATTCAACTGGACGTGTAGAGAAGATGAGTCCAGTACAGAAATGGAAAACTTGTAACCAGCTGACCAGATATTTCAAAAGCATTCTTCATTTTTTCTCCATCTTCAATTCTGGAGATGAGCATTCCGGACAGCGGGATCCTCCCCTGCGGACACACATGCCCCCGCTCATGTCTGACAGTCAGGAGACTCACAGATGTTTCTGCAGAGGCTTTAAGACCAAACCAACCTGGTAGACGAAGCCACTCATTCTCAGGTTAGCAGAGAGCAGCAGCAGAGTGTGAGGGAAAAGGATGAGGTAGCGCTCGTTTGACTCCTGGGAGGGAAACGACTTTTAGTTAAAACATCAGCTGGTCGGACTAAAGGGGGCGTGTCCGAGGTGGTTACCTGACTAGTCTGAGTGTGAACCTTCACCAGGGTCATGTGGAGAATCGGGCCGAGCGTTTTGATGTCATCTCCCTCCCAGTTCCTGATTGGCTCTGTTAAAATCTGCAGCTCCGTCTCCTTCTTCTTCCTCACCTCCCGACACTCGGCCTGACGGGAAACACACCCAGGTGCGGAAGTTCAGAAAAACTCTGAACAAAAACAAACCTTCAGCGATGAACCTGTCTCACCTCCAGGTTTTTAAAGGCGGCCATGGCGGCGTTCAGGTCCGCTCTGTCAGGATGCTGCTCCTAAACGCACATTTGACATTTTCACCACGACAACACAAGAAAACCAGACTGAAGCCGCCTGCTTACGTCCATGTGTCTCTCCAGCTCCCTCAGCAGCGCCGGGTACCTCTCCAGTCTGGTGAAGGGTTTACTCAGACTCACAGTCAGGGTCAAGCACCCGGGACTGGACGCCCCCTTCGACTCCATGTATGCCTCCAGCTCCTCCCTGAGACAGACGAGTCACGTCTGGCGGTTTCATACAGGCGTAGGTATTACTCCTCCGGGACATACCTGTGCTGCGTGAGGACGTGGACCGCAGAGGGGTGATTGGAGCAGTAGGCCACATATGCGGTCTTCATCTGGGGCATCAGGCTCACAAAGAAACCCCCGATCCTCTGCTGGTTCTCCGGGAGTCTGCACAGATGTGGTGGGACTCAATAAATAAGTAAATGTTTGACCACTAGGTGTCGCTGTTGTTTAGTGAAACTGAAGGATATAATTCATCATGAAGAACGTAAATGTCTATCCAACTTTCACTCTTTCATTATGTTTCTAATGCCAGCAAAAAGCTGCAGACATTAAAATAACGCCTACTTTGTTTGTTCGTCCAAAGACTGAACCAGCATCTGCTGGAAGGTGGAGATCTCTTCCAGGTTTCCCTGAATGTGGCTGATGTCCACGCCGCTGAGTCTGCAGCACAAGAATGGAGTTCCCTTTAGAATAAAGCTAAACAGAAGCAACAGCAGGTATGAACCCACGTGGGTGGGTTAGCAGACTGTTCACCTGTCTGTGGGGTGAAGAGAGCGAAGGTATGAACCCAGGAGAGTCTGGAGCTCTCTGGAATATTCGCTCTCCGCTTCCAGGATGTTCTGGAGGACCTGAAATAAAAGAAATGAGGTTTTATTCTCACGGGAATGCTCCGTTTTAATCAGACGAAACAAAAATGTGGTGAATAATGAATTTTCTCCCTGAAGACACAAAACAGCCTCTGTTAGAGGGAATGAACGCAGTGATGAGGCTCATTAGGGAGCTTTAGGAGCTGGCGTCTGACCTGCAGACTAACTAGATGACTTAGTCACAAACTCAAACGTCTCAGAGGATCGAGGCATGACTGTGAAACAAGTGGTAGAGTGAAAGTAATGCATACAATTTTAATTATTCCTATAAAAATGATGAAGTCAGGTAAACGGGAATACGAAGGAACAGCTTCTTCTAGCAATAGAAACATTTAAAAGACTAAATAGAACTAAAATAAATTCTCTGTAGGAACAGATCTGACTGCAGGCAGGACCTCCATGAGCTCTCATGAAGGTTTCAACTGAAATAAAACCTCCGGTACCAAAATACAAAAGCGCCGGGCATCTTGGTGCATTATTAAAACCACTCCCACCAGAAAGAGCCCAGGCTGCGGCGACGACGCCCCAGAAACCAGCGGCCTGGAAGGAATAACCTACATTAGAGTCCCTGCAGTCTGAGTCTCTCTCTCACACACACACACACATGCACACATAACCAGACATACACACACACAAACAGACATGCATGCGCGCGCACACACACACACACACACACACACACACGCACACACGAGTGTTGGTGAGTGGCTGCGTCTGACTGTTGACACACACACACACACAAACACACACAGGAACAGACAGACACACAGGAACAGAAACACACACACACACACACACACACACACACACACACACACACACACACACACACACACACACACACACACACACACACGCCGTGTGACGTAGAACTGATGAAGGATGACAGGTCGTGAGGATTCTAACTACTACTGATGACACGTGGGTCTTCACGGTGCTACTCACCACATTATAATATGTTTTACTGATGATGGCGACGTCGAGGCCTTTGGGTGGACTCTTTAGGGTTCCAGACTTTTGCTTCTCTGTTGTTTTGTCTACAAGCAGAAAAAGGTGCATAACCAGTCATAATTACTACAGTGTCTTATTCATGCAGGACAACAAAGGCTTAAATAGCTACAAATGGTTTTAGCTAATGTTGTTAAATCCGTGTGAGATCCATAAATGGTTTGTGTGAGCTGGCCATCTCTGCGTGAGCGTCTTCATGGTTACTGTTTAAGTCAGGAAGTTCCTGTTCTACGCAGCAGCTCTGGAACTTCCTTTCTTTGTGTCCTGGAGAAGCTTCCTACCTTCCCATCTCAGAAAGCAACAACAGCTAAATCAGACATTTGGACAAGGAAATGATCAGAGAAGAAAGACACGGCAAAAATGTCAAGAGTTTGGTTAAAAGAGGATCGTTTTAGGAAAAGTGAAACTCACCAGATACACTTGACTTATGTTTAAAAAAGATCTATTGCTCCTAAATCACAGCTCTGACCAATGTCAGTAACTCTGCTGAGGTCTCTGGTATAAATGAATGCCTTGTGAGACTTTGTCTGTGGGGACAAAGCTCTGGCGCTCCTGTTTCAGGAAGTAAAGGTCAGCTGGAGGAGTAGGGGACCGGAACCAACTGAATATTGAGTCCCACTTATTAATATTCATGATATGCAAACATCTCACTTCTTATTGGCTGACAGCAACATGACTGTTCTGCTGCCACCATTCTTGGGTAAAACATTTGAGATGTTTTATTTCCACAAATAACACAAGCCTGAACGTATCCCGCCATGTTGTGTAGTAGCTAATGGTTAGCCTCCACTAGCCAAGATGCCCTCTGCTCTCTCCTTCCTGTGGGCGGGCCTAATGTGGGTGGGTCCACAAATGCAGCTTTTCCCTCTGACATAGAGGAGACTGGATTTTTCTGACCTGAATGGTTCCCCCGAACATTTCCAGCTCAGAATGACCAATCATATTTAAAAAAAAAAGAGCATCACATGACTCAGACCTTTAAAGTGGTTCTAGAATTCTAAAACTGGGAGTGTTGCCACAGTTACCTTATAATAGTAATTTGATTACTGACTACTGGTAACTCCATCCAACAGTAACTTAGTTACTTTACTGATTACTGTATGTTGAAAGTAAATAAGTTAAATTAGAAATTACTTTATTAATTACTTTCAGCAGTATCTGTACCCGATGCCTCAAGCTTCAGTTTTGCTATGCTGCAGCAATGCGCTGGGAAGAATGCTAACATCTAGCATCCAACATTAGCAAACTGACAGCCAAGATTATTGTTAGACACACTGACGAAAGGCCGAACAGCAAAGGAATCCCATTCCTTGGATTGGAACTGCTACTTGCGGTGCAAAATTAGCACCATCAGAACGCTGAACAAGACAAACAGCCAACACAAACCTAGCAATAAAACCCCAACAAAACACCCGAAAACCCACCAAAATAGGACAAAACTACTGAAAACCAGCTACCCACAGTGCACCTTGCCAGTTGTCTGTTCAGCAGTAAGCAGGGTCACTAGAGACACTAGTGAGTGTGAAACAAGCAGCAGGTGAGGTGCATTGTGGGAAGCCAGGTTTCCAGCTTTTGGTTGGGGTTAATTTAGCACCGTGAGTAGTGGCTCCATTCCAAGGAATGGGACTGCGTTGCCGTTCGGTCATTTAGTCGCTTAATATGCTGCTTGATCTGAATACAGCCTCTGCTGTTGTTGGAAACACGCATCTCAACGTTCCTGGTTACACAAAACTAGTCACCAGTAACTTATAGTGTAATCTGATTACTCATATGGAAATAGTGACACATTAGATTAGTCGTTACTGGAAAAAGTGTTCATTTTAGAGTAACGCGCTACTAAGTAATGCGTGACTGGCATCACTGTAAACAGGGGTGGACAATCCGACCCCAAAAAATGTATCGCAATATTTCTGAGCATTTTGAGGATAACGATAAAGTTTTAACAAAGTAAAAAAAATGTTGATATTCATGAATGACTTTTCTGCAGTAATTCTAGGTCATATAAAATACTTTTTATTTTTTTGCTAACGTCCACTTTTTTAGTTTTAATTACTTTTCTGAATTCCACATTTCCATTTTAACCACATTTATTAACTCCAAACATCTGATATTATAACGTGAAACAAACAAATGAGTAACCAGCATTAACCGGTATAAGTGAGTACTGTGGTTCTGGTGCTTTTGCAACATCAAACAACGATTGTGTAAAATTTGGTGTTTCGTTAGTCGATGTTTACGAATTACAAAAAGGTCAGAGAGACGAACAGGAGAGAAAACACGCTGGATGCAGTTTGTGTTCAGCGTTCAATAAAGTTCGAAGAAACCAGACGTGCGGGCTTGACTCAGTACCCACCCCCGTTTGCAACGCTTCACCACAAAGAAGCTTTTCCATTTCATCTAGAATATCTGATGCAGCAAAATAAACTTGTGTCTAATGTAGAAACAGCAAGCTAGCAGGAGCACCCGGCTCCTGCTAGCTTGCTGTTTCACACATCTCTCTGTCCTGTTTGTGTGGAGAGACCACCCATATGACCAGGTGACAGGTACGGGGGCCTACGGTGGCCAAAATACCTCAGAACTACCATGAATATTCACCCACATGAGCGTATGGATGTGTAGACGTCATCTAATTAATATATGATATATTTTTTAAACAGGCAAGTAAAAAATGACGAGTATTATCCATCGACATATAAATATTGGGACAATGGGTTTCCAAAGGCTCCAATAACACATTTTTGAAGATAAATGGGAGGTGGCCACCACCACCATTTTGACCGTGTCACAGGTTCCGTCAAGCCCAGACAATTCCACAAAAGGGAAGAGAGGAGGAGCTGAGGGTGGGGCTGTAAGGCAGGGATCAACTGACGACACCCGGTCGAACTAGCTACAAGCTAACCTGAAGCTAACCCAAAGCTAATGCGGAGGTGGGAGCTAAGCTAACGGAGGTAGCAACCTAGCTACAACCGGAGTTAACTGTGCACAACACCAGAGCTTCTGAGTCAGAGATACGCCGGGCTGACCGCTGGGTAAAACCGGGTGGAACACAGAGGTCTCCCGAGAGCTCCACAAGCCGGCAGCCGCACAGCAGACAAGCGCCGCTGTGATCTGAGATGCACAGAGCTGCTGCTGGGGAGAACCGGGTGGAAAGGTTTCCATCCCAGAGATCCACAAGCCGGCAGCCAGCGCAGCAGACAGAAGCTGCGATCAGACAGAGATGCGCCGAGCTGCGGGGAGGGGAGAACGGGTGGAAAACAGGTCGCCCGAGAGCTCCACAAGCCGATAGTCGGAACCCAGCTCCACCAACATGTTATATTTCAACCCATTTTCTAAAGTGCAACATTATGTTAAATGCACTGGGGTTTTACCCTATTACATTTAAATTTCATGGTTAAACAGTACATGTTAAAATCTAAGCTCAGCAGTGACCTAAAATACATAAATATAATTTTACTTACCGAAAAAAATGAAGTGGAGACTCCTTAGACGCTCTATTAGTGCAATTAATGCCACAGCAAGTCATTTTGTCGAACAATTGCACAAATAATATCCAAAACAGAATACACAAACACAGAGAGACTCAAAATCCCGGAACAGTTTCCAGGCCAGACCGAGGCTCTACTGAGGCCTTTCCACGGAGCTAGCTCTGTGGTCACGTGGGTCTGATGCTCATTAATTATACAGAATTTTAGGCTTTTAATACACTTAAACAGAAGAGTGAGAAAAAAATTCACCCTCCTCAGAGTTGTCATGAGTGTAAACTAGATCATTTAAACAAAAAACATGTTTTGGTACCAGGCTGTAAACATGTTCATTTCTGCTGTGAAATTGGTATTTTTAACATGGGAGTCAATGAGGATTTGCTCGCTTCTGACGCCAGCCCCCAGCGGATGAGGGCGGAACTGCAATTTTTGGTACTTCCTGGTTGGCCTCAATTTTTGAGCCGCATTGTGGGGGCTTGGTATCATCATGAATGGTATGATACGGCCCGCCTGTAATTCCAAACCCCATTTACCCTGTTGCTGACTTTAGGCGGCTTCGGGTGTCTCCGACCTGCTTTACTGTGCTGGTTAACACCCTTCTGTTGTAGGGCTTTATGATGGGGTAATTATCAGGGCTCTTGGGCCATCCTGAGCCCCAACAAAGTTTGGTAACACTTTAGTTTAGGGAACACAAATTAATCATTAATTAGCTGCCAATTAATATGCATATTAGTGGACTACCAAGTCTGAACTAGTCATTATTAAGCTTATTAAAAGCTTATTACTAATGCCGTAATTCTAACATTAACAGGCCATGAATAAAGTGTTTTATCATAAGCCATTCATAATGGTTTGTTAACTGAAAGTAAATGGTTAGTTGCTGATTAACGGACATACCAAGTAGCTCAAATCTGTATGTGGCCTTTAAAGAAGTAATTCAAGGGGAACATATTTTTGCCTTTAAGTAGTTAATTAATACAGAACTGCTAGTAATTAGGCATGAATGAAATCTGACTTTAGAATGGGGAACAGATTCTTGCTTACAAGTGGCTAATTAATTGTGGCTCAATAAACATGTGGAGTTTGGTGTTTATGTACATAATGCCACAACATATTTTTGGTTATTAATGCAGAATAATTATTCCCTTGAATTACTTCTTTAAAAGCCACATACAGATTAGAGCTACTTTGTATGTCCGTTAACCAGCAACTAACCGTTTACTTTCAGTTAACAAACCATTATGAATGGCTTATTATGATAAAACTCTTAATTTATGGCCTGCTAATGTTAGAATTACAGCATTGGTAATAAGCACCTAATAACAGCTTAATGACCAATTTTGACATAGTAGTCCACTAACATGCATATTCATTGGCAACTAATTAATGGTTAATTTGTGTTCCCTAAACTAAAGTGTTACCCAAAGTTTATATGCTCCACGGACGCTAAGAAGTTCTTCTAGAACCGCTTTAAGAGCAGCAGAGTTGAAGCAGGAAGAAACATCACCTCAGTTTCAGTCTTGGAATCTCAGCAGAAGTTAAATATCTTCTGATGCTAAACATACGAGACATCACCAACGGAAGATAAAAACAATGAGGAGCATTTTTTTCTTTTGGTATCCCTAAACAATAGAATGATTTAAAAAAATAGCTGCACCCACCGTTTCTCTTCAGCTCCCGTACATAGTTACTAGGGAACCACCCCGTCTTGTCATTCAGCGAGCCTTCCCACCAGCCCCCATCCTCCTGCCTGGTCACACTGATGATGTCACCCTTGGAGAAGGAGAGTTCGTCCTCATTGTTCTGGTGGAAGGCAAAACGCGCTTTGACCAGTGGCAGGCCACACCCATTGCCATCGGACATGTCCTGTGATGAACAGCGAGACCAAAACAAAAAGGCAGACGTGTGTGTTTGTGTGATGTCACAGCTTAAGTTGTGATGCTGTCTCTGTCATGGTGACTCACCAAGCTGCGGTACTGATGCTGCAGCACTTTAGAGGGGCAAGCCTGAGTGTTGAGAGAGTCAAATGACTTGATTCTAGGACTTGGGGAGTGTGGTGCACATGTGCCGTCTCCGGAGATGTCTAAAAGTGCAGATGAACCAAGATTTGTTATAACATCAAACAAAGGGGACAGCGGAGGATGAAAGGCTCTTATCTCACCTTCAGTGTTTTTGTTAAGGGCAACCAAGGAGTTTAGGACTTTAGAGAAGTTCTGCCCCTGCAGCAGGTCGCTGACCTCAAAAGGCTGAAAATACAAAAACAAAAGAATAATGAATGAAATGTGAGCCAACCCTAATGCAACTAAAGGTTTGAGGCAAAGAAGAAGAAAAACCCACTAGAGCACGAGTTCAGCTACAACAGGAGTAACTAGTTGTGTTTGCACACAGGTTAGATAACATGAAGTAAACTAAAACACACATCTATGTGTTCTTTCTGTATTTATAATCAGTTCTACATTCAGCCTTAAGATCAAGAAGAACCAAGTCTAGTGGAGCTTTAAATCCTGAGTCTGAAGCAGGATTACTCCAAGTCTGAGCTGCCTCTTTTAATCTCCAAGTCTGACACACACACACAGTCATACACACACACACATAGTCAGGTCCATAAATATTGGGACATCGACACAATGCTAACATTTTTGGCTCTATACACCACCACAATGGACATCAAATGAAACAAACAAGATGTGCTTTAACTGCAGACTGTCAGCTTTTATTTTGAGGGTATTTACGTCCAAATCAGGTGAACGGTGCAGGAATTACAAAAGTTAACATATGGGAATCACATAATTAGGAACTTGCTGCGGTACTTAGTGCAAAAAAAGGAAGATAAAAGAGATAAGAAAATATAGGAAGAATATAATCATGAGAAAATAATATAAAGTGGCAAAACTTAGAGAAATGGCTGCTAAATACAAGACAGTGTAGGCTCTGGTCAGAGCACACCAGTTCAGGTGCAAACACAACACAGGGTCATGTGACTGGGACCAAGCGACTGGAGTGAGCAGATTGTCATTTATGAGAACAACATCAGAGGGGAAGAAACTGTTGAATTAGCGGCCTTAATACTGTTAGTATTTTTGTTAGGGGTTATGTTAAGGGTTTTAAACCCATAGAGTGCTGTGATTGGTCCACAATCTTTTACATCAATGTTGGACTATTAAGACTTGGGCTTTATTAGAATAAGAAGCAGATAGATGTATTTATTTAGAAAAAAGGATGTATTTTCACCTTCTTCAACAGCGGACCGCCTCGTTTACCAACATCCATTGAGGTAAGTACATCACATTGTTCGTTGTCCAGTAGCATGTGGAGATTGTTTGAAAAACAACGGCAGAACGCGCGCCATGACAGAACCATCAATGGCATCGCTTCATTGATGGTTGTTGGTCGTGGGGCAGATTCAAGACAGGCTAACAAGGATAGGGATGTTGGAGACGCACTCCGTCCAGAGAGTTCAGGTTTACGGCGTTTTTGCACTCTCAACTGCATCACCAGATGCAGTTTAAAGAGCAAGTCACCCCCTACCAGATTATTCCTCCACTCCCACTTCCTGTTTGAAAACAAATGCTGTTGCCTAGCAGACCGAGAGGGCGGAGCCGCTTCCTGTACACACACACACAAAGGCTCACGACATTGTGACATCATATGGTACCAGCTAACGTCCTAGGGTACCTCTTAGCCAACAGCGATGGCAGATTTAAATTCAAATGCAGTGCAGAGTTTTTACCTGACAACGGCACAACACTGACAGTTTTAGGCAGAAAATTAAAATTTTAACCAAGATGCACTAAAGTGCAAAACTATTTACTACATGTGTCTGTCTGCAGCACGATTAGACACTCATTTATATTGTTTTTTTTTTTTTTTTTTTTTTTTTTTTTTTTTTTTTTTTTTTTAAACTTTATTGTTATTGTTTTTGAATGCTTTGTAATTTCGACCAGACACGGAGACAGAGGTGAAAGAGAAAGGAAAAGAGAAAAGGTGGGGAGAGAGGGGGTTAGGTGGGGGGGGGGATTCAACAAAAATAAACAATAATGAACAAGAGTCTGCTTCTAGACCTGCAAAATGAGACGAGAAAAAAGCAAAACATAACAAAAAAATGGGACACAACACCAATATAACAAAATCAAGCTATCACTGCGTCAACTTGATGAAGAAATATATAATCAATCATTGTTTAACTAAACAGTCACACGATAATATACCACAGTGCATTGAGTCCCCACCATAGTCTTAAGACATGTGTTGAACGTGCCCAAGCCCATACTTATGAGAGCACCATGTGAGCACCTGTGTGTGTACACGCGCTTGTTTATGTAAGGTTTATCTATAGGAGCGTCCAATAGAGAGTGTGAGGGACCACAGATCTGCCCCCCAAAGACGCGTAGGAGACGGGGGGGAGCTCCAAGTCCCAGAGATCCAGGCGCTGCCCCAGAACACAGGAACCCCAAGGAGCCCGCAACCAGAAAGGCCCCCGCCCCCCTCGAGAGGCACAGAGGATCGCCCCGGGGGGCCACAACCAGCAGCTGGCAGAGCCCCGGGAGATATCAGCGGCAAGTCCTCAGGCCTGCCCGCAGCCTCCCACCCCCTAGCCGGCCGAGTCCGGGACCCAGCGACCCGGGACCCAGGGGCGACCACCCCCGCCGGGGACCCAGCAGAGCCCAGGGACCCAGACCCCCCCAGGCCGCCACCGGGATTGATCAGGCAGATGCCAAAAATCTTAAACTCCCTGACCCGGGAGCCACGAACACTCAGGCAGACCAAGGCATCACACCCCCACCAGGTGTGACAGGGGGGAGGGGAGACGAAGATCTATATCATCAAAGGAGGTCCCAGGAGAAGGGAGGAGTCAAAGGCCCCACCTGACATATACAGTCATACACAAACACAGTCACACACTCCCTCCCTCATGCTCACACATGCACATACAACCAAAGACTTAAAAAAATACACGCAGGACACCCATTCATGCTCCCCATACACACCCTATTCACTCTGGTCCCGGTAATGCTGCACATGGGGTACAACCACCACCGGTTACCAGCGTTTGACCCTTTCTGCTGGGGTGCTGATGAGCAGGCTCCCCCGCCCACCGCCGAGCACAGCAACCCACCACCCCAGACCCCAACCAGACGGCCAGATCTCCCTCCTAGTCTCCAGCCCCAGGCAGCCAAGCAACAACAGAGGTGTGCTAAGACCCCCTGGTCTCCCTCCACCTGCTCCAACATAGTGTTGTGTGTTAATGAGGTGTATTCTATTGCTGTGGTGAGCGGGCAGTGCGGGCATTTTCTGGCCTATGCCAGCTGATGCCACTGCACCACCCTACTTGCTCACTTACACTCATTTATATTGTTTTACCATGAAAAAAAAGTTGATTTGGGGGTGACTTGCTCTTTAAGTAGGACTTGCAGGCTAAACATCTCTTTTTTTAACATTTTAAATGTAAATTTTGTGCAGTAAAAACTATTTAAAATGTTGCATTCTCACTTTTACACCATGTTGAAGTATTAATAATGCCCACATTTTCCACCAGTGACTGGTCAGACGGACTCCCTGATTATGAGGTTTGAATGACTCATGGTAGAAACGAGGCCACTCTAAATGGACTGGATCGATATCACACACGATTCCCTTCCAGGGTCAGATGTATAACTGGGACTTATGTCACTGGTTGTGCAGCTCTAGTTAATGATGGCCACACTCCTGCTGCCACTTGATGGTTTCTCTAATCCTCCTCTGTAGGCTTGCCCTTTTGCTGCCAGACAACTGTCGGGGAGAATTATTACTGGCTGCTTGTACCAGTCATTGGCTTCCAGCGACATGGCTGCCATTGCTCTAATCAACCTGATTGGAAAATCCACAGGGTGTCTAGATGGCTGCATTACATCAGCCCACTCGTCCCTTCCCCTGGTTTTATTCTCCCATATCGTCTTCATGGTTCCCTTGAGATCCTAGATTTGTTTAAAGGCCCATCCATCTGGTCTCCACGTGCAGAGTTAAACCTTGTTAGATGTCTACAACCAGGAATCTGGTATTACGTAATCAACCCTTTTCCATTTGGATCATATGGCTTTATTAGGGTAGGATCAACACTTAAGAGTGTGTGTACGCACATGCCTGTGTGCCTTTTTGAACATTATTCACTAGATCTCTCTTCACACTCTCAGTGGGGGGGGGGGGGGGGGGGGGAGTCATAACCTAACATGACCTACTTAAAACACACACACACACACAGATGTACTTTTGAACCCTTGAGATGAACAAAATGTTGAATTCATGTCTGACCTTTCCTGTTAAACTCTATAAATATTAGTCACAGCATCTAAATAATCAACATTACACTCGAGTGAAAGTATGTTATTCATGGGGATCTCTGCCTTCGTTTCCATAACAACAAACAAACTAAAGGCAGAAAATAACTCCAGAGAAGAGCAGAGTGAGGGCTGAGATAAAATCCTTTAGGTCTATTTTATACCTGTAACAAACCCTTCTACACCACAGCTCTTGTTTTCTGCAAGTAGTGAAATAATTCACAGAGGTCATAAAAATAACAGACCAGAACACAGATTATGTGGAGCTTAAATGATAAACGCCACAGAAACCTGTTCAAAAAGGACAGGTAATAAAGGACAAAGCTGAGCTTTCAAACTTTCTCCTCAAGGTAACTTCTAAAACTTTGAGATCAGCATCAATGCTAGTTATTACTTTTTCCTTCCATTCTGTTTCACCAGCAGCTCTTCCTATTTTATAATGCTGATTGTCTGAAGACATCGCCGACATGACTCGTTTCTGTGAACGCAGCAGCTGTTGCTGCAGCAGGTGGATCAGGGTATCCGCGGGTCCTTAAAAAGTCTTAAAAAGTCTTAAATTTGCTTTTCCAAATTTAAGGCCTTGAAAATCCTTAAAAATGACAAATAATCCTTAAATCCAGTTTCCAAAGGTCTTAAATTACCAAAGATCCAATAAACAAGATTATTTTATTTCTATAAAAATGTTCGTGAATTTCTAGTTGGTGTTCAGCATTTTTTGTGTACGATGTTGGCGTAAGCGGAACCGTACACATTCAGCTGGTTGTGAAAGGGGGCTGTTTTTAGATGAGCACATTAGCTGGTTAAGCTAGTGGGAGCTTGTGCCATTGGGGAAGTGCAAGTTTAATGGTAACTGGATGGCTAATCCCACATTCACGACGTGGTTAGCACCGGTTCCAGGCAATAGCTGGAAATTATAGCTTAAATTTAATTTT